TATCCATTTTGTAATACAAGCCACTCCTATGCGAAGACACCTTACTTCGGCGGGGGAAGCAGCTTCAATAAAAAGAGATGGCTGGAAGCCCCTGATTGAAGAAAGGAGAAGTTCAATTATGAGGTAAAATGGATGATTGTGGGTTGTGGACCGTGGAGAGAATTCCTGTCTCGTAGAAGTGGAGAGGGAGGGAGGAACTGTATTGAGAGTGGAGAATTCGAATTTGGAAACAATTGAACAATGCTCAGCTCCTCAATATGATGATCCCTCTTTCTACCGGTATTCTTGTTGCGACCACGAAACCAACCAAATCTTGAGGAATTTTCCTCTTCAATTCTCATTACCAGGTTAAAAGTTTTCTTGTGGGTGTACAATTCTTATGTATACCTAGGTAGTTGTGCTTTGTATAAGAGGTGAGTGGTTCGTTGGTTTGGAAGATCGAGAAATGATTCGCATGGAAGAAGTGGAAATAGTTTGGTAGAACCGGGAAGTTTGTATTTACGCTTAGTAAAATTGAGGCTGGATAATTGTTGCTAGAGGGATAGTGTGATCCTGAATAAACATTAAATTGCCAAATACGGTATATGATTGGTTGGAACACAGAAATTATCATATATAATTAGATAAGCAAGAACTTAATTCTTAGCGTCGGTGGCTAAAAAAAGACCCCCCGCCTTTTTAGAGGCCGTGTACGATTGTGGTTCAACCAAGAAAAGAGATCAAGCTTACCATAGTAGGTAGGGTAGCTACCTCTCATACGCCATCTGAGTACCGAGCAAAGCTCACAAGGCTGCAATACATTAGGAAATAAAGTTAATATTCCTTAAAAAATCAAAGCTCTTCAACCACCACCCTACATCATAAGGACAATACATCACTTGCAACGGCGTCACACGGCTACCCTTAAGCCTTTCCAGTCATCATAAACAACTTCGACGAAGGACTAAATACTTCTGACTGAAACTCCCTTCAACAACTGAAACTTATCCATCAATCATGGATACCGCTTTCAAGACCTGGGGTAAGTAAATCTCTAGCCTTGAAGCTCTCTTCATCTATGCCATGGCCATTGCCATTATCACTGCACCTGCCCCCCATCCTCCCCCACTATGCACCTATCACGCTACCTGATTCCTGAAACTCACCTTATCAATTATAGAGCTTGACAACAACGTCCAACTCGTGGACCCCAACCGCGACGCCCTCTACGCCTACGACCCCGAAGAACAAAAGGCTTTTCAAAAAGCCAAGCCCTGGGATACCGATCCGCACCACTTCAAAAACGTCCGGATCTCTGCTGTTGCCCTCTTAAAAATGGTTATGCATGCTCGGTCAGGTGGTGCTATCGAAGTCATGGGTTTGATGCAAGGGAAGATTGCAGGCGATACATTCATTGTTACAGATGCATTCCGTCTACCGGTCGAGGGAACAGAGACTCGAGTAAATGCCCAGGACGAAGCAAACGAATACATGGTCGAGTATCTACAACACTGTAGAGATCAGGGAAAGTTAGAGAATGCAGTGGGATGGTATCACAGTCACCCAGGCTATGGATGTTGGTTGAGTGGTATCGATGTTGGAACACAAGCTATCCAGCAACAGTTTTCAGAACCTTTCCTGGCCGTTGTTATCGATCCTGATCGCACTATCTCTGCTGGAAAAGTTGAAATTGGTGCTTTCAGAACATATCCCGAGAATTACAAGCCCATGGATGCAGGATCAGGTGATGGATATCAAACAATTCCGCTTGCAAAGATTGAAGATTTTGGCGCACATAGCAGGAGATATTACTCTTTAGAAGTCTCACATTTCAAGAGCTCATTAGATTCGCATCTTTTAGAATTGTTGTGGAACAAATATTGGGTTCAAACATTGAGTCAAAGTCCTTTGTTCACCAACCGCGAATACCGCAGCAAACAGATGCTTGATTTGAGCTCCAAGATTCGACAAGCCAGTTCTGGTATTAGTCGCAATGGAAGAACAACTGCCGGATCATCTTTGAGTAAGGGAATGGATCAACAATTGATGAAGGTTGTTAAGGATAGTAGCAAAATTGCTGGGGAAGAGATGACGGGGCTGAAGGCTGGTGAGGTCAAAGCGCAGTTGTTTAACGGGTTAGGCGCGGCGCAAAAGACTGCAGCTGATCCTGCTGCTCCAAGTGTTCCAGCTGTTCCAGTGGCGGAATAATTGATCAAGAAGACACATAGTATTTGGCAGCTCTTGTGAGCATTTCTCCGGCGCATGGGTTTATGATGGCGTTTTAAGGTCTAAAATCTACACCGACCACAGTAGTTTAGAGTGGGGAGAAATGAAATTATGATACACGGCATCAAAATGATGTATACATTTCCCACCACAAATTCTATTTGACTTTTCGCCACAACACTCGTGACTAGTCATCCTCAATTTGTTTATATTTTCAGCTGTACAATCGATATACTATCCATGTATCAACAACCTGCCATTTCAATTCTCAACAACGGAGCCCACTTCAGGTTTCTCAAGTGTCCTCAGACGATCCTCCATGATCTCTTTTGCAACCCCTAACCGTCTCAGGGACTCCCCCCTCCCCAAAATTGCCATGATATCCGCCGTATCCGGTCCACTCTGACCTCCCGCAATCGCCCACCTAAGATACGCATGCACGAGCTTCATCCAACTCTTCTTGATAACTTTTTGTGCATCTTCGGTGTATGGTTTTCCGCTAGCAGTAAATTCAGCAGTGCTCATCATGGCTCCTTGGTCGACGACAAGGTTTGTAAAACCTTTTAGCTCAGGAGCGTTCCAATTTTCAAGGGAAATTGAAGATAAAGCGTCGAAGGAATTGGTGAAGTCGGAGGGGACAGAGTAAATTACCCCCTCGGGAGCGGAGTGGAGCTTGTGGGGCGGGGTTCTAGATCCAAGTTCGAGAGTTGTGGGGGCTGCAAAAAAGTATTTATGGTTGGAGTAGAAGGTTTCGGGGAGTGTGTAGTTTTGGATTCCAGCGCTAATTATAGAGAGGATGTAATTTTCCTTTGCGGCATCGTTGTTCTCACAGTTGTAGAAGATCAAGTCTTCAAATTCTGGGAGAGCTTTCATACGATCAAGGGTTGGCTTTGCAGCCAATACTAAGAGATCTTGAGAAGGCGGGACAGGTTCATCTGATCGTCGTAATTCCTTATATCTTGCGGCGTGTTTTCTTTGTATGAAGTTAAGCTTTTCAAATGTTACCACAGAGTCACCTCTGGTATATTTCATGCTTGCCTATATTAAATTAGTGGATTATCATTATGTATTAAAAAGAAGAAATGTATACATTGTCTATAAGTTCTTGCATGCCCATTACATCGTAGGATCGATCGTGTGACCATCCAAGAAGAGCGACAAAGTTAGTTATAGTTTCTGGGAAATACCCCGCATCTCGATAAGTTTTGATGTCAATGGCACCATCTCGTTTGCTAAGCTTCTTTCGCTCTTTATTCAAAAGGAGGCCAACATGTGCAAAGGTGGGTGGCTCCCACCCAAACGCCTTATACATAGCAACATGCATATGGGTTGATGGAATCCATTCCTTGAAGCTAGGATTAACTCAAATTCGTCACGAGAATGGAAGCTACGTACCGATCCTCGAACAACATGTGTGATCTTCATGAAATGATCGTCCACAACGTTTGCCAGATGATATGTTGGAAATCCATCCGATTTTACCATGATTGGATCTTGAAATTCTTTAAACTCCGATTGAGGGCTACGAGTCAACGTCGGTCTGATTTTACCATAAACTTCATCCTGGAAGCCTGGCCATTGTTCTGGAACTTTCATTCTAATCACGTGAGATTCTCCCCTCGATGCCTTCTCGTCAGATTGATCCTTTGGAATGTGTCTGCAAGTTCCATCATAAGCCTGTGGGAGACCCTTGCTACTCTGATAAACCCGGAGTTCGTGTAGTCTTTTGGATGAGCAGAAACATCTATAGCCTAAGTCTGCCTCGACCAGTGTTTGAGCGTGTTCCCAATACATTGCTTTTCGTTCTGACTGTTGATATCAGTATTACACTCTGATATCATGAAATTAGAAGGCATTAACGTACTTGCCTGTATGGGGCAAATGGTCCACCGACTTTTGGCCCTGAAAATTCTTAGTAAACTCATTCTAACAATTCAATATCGAGTTAAGATACCTTCATCCCATTGGATACCAGCCCATTCTAGATCTCTGTATAGACGCTCTTCGGCTCCAGGGACGGTTCTATCCTTCTTAATTCAGTGCGATCCTATTGGCAAAGACTTTCTATTATTGACTTACCGTATCCGTGTCTTCAATCCGCAAAAGAAATTGGCCACCAGTAGCCTTTGCAAGCAGGAAATTAAAGAGTGCTGTTCTCATAGAACCCAAATGCAGATTTCCGGTAGGAGATGGGGCAAACCGAGTTCTGACAGGGCCGCCAGCACGAAGTTTGGTCGAGGCTGCCGACAGAGGAAACTGATTTGTTTGGGTGGAGGCATATCTCTGACATATGGAACAAACGTTGTTCTTCCATAATCTCTGGCCAGTATTTCTTTTCACTGGCACAGAGAGAAACCTCATCTCCAAATTTATTTCACTGTGACTATAGTGATCCTAATAAAAAGTAAATCTTGAAGAATTCAGTTCAATGTTTGACGGTGCACCAAGAAGATTTTGTAATTGATTGGAGGACAGGAAAATAACGTCAGCCACAAATTCTCAGCCACATACGCCGAGGCCTCGGTGGCTCGAGCTTCTACTAGTTGGAAAGGCGCTAAGATAAAAATAATGGAAAAGCCGTCCTCATCATAATCTCTTCAGCCTTACCACTCTTATTTTCATTCTTCATACAAATTTTATTTGTCGTTTTACACATAACATTTGTGTCTACCTTAGTGTTTTGTTTTTCTCGTTTGTTTAAAAGCATAGAAAGACAACCAATTCTGAAATCACAAAATCCTACTATTCGCTGAACAATCAAAGTTCCCCGCCATCAAGTCTTTAGAAATTTCAATATGGCCACCAACGGCGCATCAGGGGAGACGGATCTCTATGGTGAGTTGACCAAATGAAGCCATTGACCTCAAAATACTAACTTACATAATACAGCCATCCTGGGCATAAGCAAAGATGCTACAAAGTCTGAGATCAAGAAAGCATACCACAAAGTATGTTATGCCCCGCACTTAGTTTATTGAGATCTACCATTGACTTCTATAGGCAGCGCTACAGCATCACCCTGACAAGGTAGCGGAGGACCAAAGAGAGGAAGCGGATGAGAAGTTCAAGACAGTGAGCCAGGCCTACGAAATTCTTTTTGATGAGGAGAAGAGGGAAATGTACGACGTTCACGGTATGGCTGCATTTGATGGAAGTCGACCTGGTATGGGAGCAGGCGGAGTTGATTTGGATGATATTTTGGCGCAAATGTTCGGTGGAGGTATGGGTGGCATGGGAGGTATGCCGCCTGGATTTGGGGGACCTGGAGGCCCACGAAAACCACGAAGAGGAGCGGACGAAGAGCAGCCATACAAAATCACCCTCGAGGACCTGTACAAGGGAAAGACAGTGAAGTTTACGAGCAAGAAAAACGTAATTTGCAGCCATTGCAAAGGTAGTGGAGGAAAAGAGAAGGCCAAGCCAGAAACCTGTGGCAGGTGTAAGGGTAGTGGTGTCACCGTTGGTCTAAGAAGCGTTGGACCAGGACTTGTTACCCAAGAAAGAGTTACGTGCGACACTTGCTCAGGAGCTGGTACAAACTATAGGGAGAAGGACAAGTGTAAGAAGTGCAAAGGAAAGCGTACCACCAAGGAACAAAAGTCATTGGAATTATATATACCCAGAGGTGCTAGAGACGGAGAGCGAATTGTTCTGGAGGGTGAGGCTGATCAGGTACCTGATCAAACTCCCGGCGACATCGTCTTCATTCTCGATGAAGAAGATCACGAAATCTTCCAGCGAGCTGGCGATGATCTTTCTGCGGAGCTCAACATCACTTTAGCTGAAGCTCTCACAGGCTTTTCAAGAGTGGTCTTGAAACATTTAGACGGACGTGGTATCTCGATAAACCATCCTCAAGGAAAGGTATTGGAGCCTGGGCAAATCTTGAAGATAGAGGGCGAAGGTATGCCTTTGAAGAGAAGCGACTCCAAGGGTGATTTGTACTTGATCGTAAAAATCGAATTCCCTCAGAATGGTTGGACAGAAGATGCTGCTACATTCTCCACTCTGCAATCAGTCTTGCCTAAACCTGAGCCTCCAATTACGGCTGAGGAGATTGATGAGGTGGAATACGATTCAGATGCCGACATTGAAGATGTAAGTATCATTGATTAACTCTCATTTGCTTTACATGCTAACTTGCAAACTAGTTCGGTGCAAATTCTGGAGACCCTCGTGCTGGTGGCGAGTGGGAGGATGATGATGAGAATGATGAAGGAGGTGCTCAATGTGCTACTCAGTAAACCTTTGGACATAGAATAGTATTATGCGCGTCATGAGATTCGAGTTACCAACTGGTAGCACATTCTGGGTTGGATTACTTGGGATATAGAGCGGTAAACGGGACTGCGATAGAAGAAGTCGTGGAAGGCAAGGCGTTCCGGGATTTGTTCCAGCAAACATTGTAATGAATTCCCAATAATCAAGCGCCAAACCTCCGCATTATTACTTAAATATTGCATTCTCTAGAATCGAAATGGTATACTGCTTCGAAGAAATCCCATCTGTTTCCATTTTGTGACATGCATCCATCCCGTTATTTGTCGAAGTAATGCAGGACTGTTGATATTTAAATCCGATTGAGCATTCCATCTTGGATTTTTATACATGCCAAATTCCGAATAGCGTAAAATTTGGATGACCACATTCTAATGAGCTACACTTTTTAAATACAATTTACACCGTTCGGAGCTCTATGCGCAGATTGTTGTAATTAACACGTGATCGGCATGGAAGCCCTAAAACTTTGCTGCCTCAGGTGACTAGATTCGCTTAAGTTTCTGTGGGCTTTAAACTATGAGACTACCAAAAAAGATTTCGCTGGAGATTGTATCAACCAACGACAAACAATCGACAACCCGACGACAAGGTGTGTATTGCTATTACTATGTCTCCTGGCGAGATGCGATTACCTCGAATTCGTTATGCTGACGATTCTCTAGATGGTTTCCGCTAAGAAGCACGTTCCTATCGTCAAGAAGCGTACGTTTAATCCCCTCATCGATCCTCGACATTCGACTTGCATAGCCTAGAACCGATCAAGAGCTATGGCCGGCACTGAGTTTTGCGAATGAAAATGGATGGACAAGATTTCGAATAATGGTTGATTGACAATTTTGTTACAGGCACCAAGCGTTTCCACAGACATCAGAGCGATACCTACAAATGTGTCGACGCAAGCTGGAGAAAGCCTAAGGGTATTGATAACCGTGTCCGAAGACGTTTCAAGGGACAAATGGTTATGCCATCGGTACGTGGAACTGAAATTGGCTGTGGTTGAAATAATACTCGCGAACAACATGGCTTGGGATTCGAGAGCATTCAATGCACAGCAGGGGTTTCAATTGAGCAAGGGCTGATGAGGATATAGATTGGTTTCGGTTCCAACAAGAAGACCCGCCACATGATGCCATCCGGACACAAGGCTTTCCTCGTCAACAACACATCCGACGTCGAGCTTCTCCTTATGCACAACAAGACCTTCGCCGCAGAGTAGGTTCAAACGATTACAGGACGAATTCAGATCTGGCACTAACAAACTATTAGGATCTCCCACGCCGTTTCATCGAGAAAGAGAGTTGAGATTGTTGCACGCGCTAAGGCACTTGGTGTTAAGGTCACCAACGCCAAGGCCAGAGTTACTACTGAGGTTTAAGCGGATGGTTTTGTTTGGGCATTTTGCATTGGGATGGGAATGCTTGTTAGCACAAGCAAAGGGCTTTGCAGAATTATAGCAAAAGCTCTTTGATAAATGAAGATCCTTAAGCAAATCTCTGACCATCACACGAAGCGCTACATGTGATGATTATTCTCCCATCGGATATCCTATACGCTACCTATGATCTCCACGATGTTCCGATCTCGCTTTCCAAAAAAAACCGAATATGTGAAGGTTCGGAAAAGATTTTCATGGCGTTCGCGGACGGTCTGTTTACCAAAAGTTGCATTGGGGAGTGGCCACTCAGAATTGTTTGAGGAATTTTAGGGCCAAACCAGTCCACAGCGCTTTTGGGGACATTATAGACACGAATTTAAATGGGGCCTCTCCCTTCACGTTCAAAACCCTACACCTCCGACCAGTCTGAATACCCTGTTGTGCTCCATGTCATTTTCTCATTTCAAACCTATCTTCCAGTCTCAGTTATCATCTTATGTTCCCAAAATCATACCAACTTGATCATGAATCACAGTGAATTCGCACCTCCACATCCAACATTCTCCGTTCTTCCACACTTATAATTTATTTGCTCATGTGAATTGTCCGTATTTTATCATCAACTACGAATAGGACATTGGGTCTCCCTTACGACGGTTATGAACACAACTAATTTAGGGAAAATGCTAGAGGCTTTCTTCTTCCTATACACTCCCTGGAACGACTTCGACGAGGTTAAAAGATACGTCAAGAAAACGGGCCTGTCAAATTGGCATCCTGTTGGAACCTGTGCGATGTTGCCAGAGAATAAAGGGGGGGTAGTTGACAACAATCTTATCGTGTATGGCATCAGCAACCTGCGTGTAGTAGATGCAAGTATCATGCCCATTGTACCTAGAAGTAACACTCAAGCTGTTGTCTATGCTGTTGCTGAAAGAGCTGCGGACATAATCAAGGGCACGAGCTGATCTGAGCATCTTTAGGGTTATCTCGCTTGGTGGGATCTCGAGAAATTGATTTCTTGCAAGTCTCTAGCGTCATCAGAGCTTCCTCCCAGTTCCAATCAGTTTATTATTTCTAGGCTTCTTAGTCCAAATTCGTACGCGTAATATCAATAACAATTTTCAATGCTTTTTATTCCTTCAACGAAAGATATCATGTCTCTAGACTAGCATTACCAGTATTCCGTGGGAGCTTTTCCGTAGTCCTGGTACCTTTCATTGTGCTCATTATGATTTGTGCATCAACAAGTGATCTGCTTAATCGATTTTCAACGCAGTGCTTCCAAAGGCATCTTTTACGTTATCTGTAAAAGTTTTGGATGGCTTTAAAGAAACCTAACTTCTACCAAACGTGTCGTAGAAGATTTTCAGCAAAGTTGCTTTTCACGATTATTTTCTTTGTTGATCTGTACAAAATTCTTAGGGTTACTTACACCAGCTTTCAGATGGCCTCAATGATATCAAAACCCTTCAAAGTTATTGTTTTGTACCAGTTTGATAATCGATATTATCTTGACGTATAAAATATTTGGAACTTTCCAAAACCTTTGACTTTTCGGTAGACTATAGTCCGGACTCTCGAACACCCAACTCATGATACGCAGGATGTAGTACATGACATATGACAATTGTCAGTGCAACTGAAGATCGCAGATCTCAGTTCATTCAGTATTTTGAACATACTTCTCTGAGGAAACTAACGAAATTTGAATATGGAATACATGGGTGCTCATGTAGAAAGGGTATTTAGTAGCAAAGCTTCGGATTATACACTACACAAAAAAAGGGGGTTAATACATTCTAGGCAATGAAATTTGCTACAGTACACATCAAACTGTTCTCAATTGCAGAGAGAAAACAATATAAAGAATCCAAATAAAAATCTATAACCCTAACCCAAAATGAGACTTTTTTGGCTTTAGCCGAACCAGGTATTGTTAACACAGGTTGGTCGTACAAAATCAACTGTACAGAAGAAAGAAACTATTGGGTACATGGTATAGTACAGTACCCTAGTATTAATCTAACGTGATGAGAAAGAGCAGTGACTGACACGAAAGACACCAAAACACAGACCAGGCCTCCGAGTGCTTAAAATTCGATTTGTTGAGCAAAGAAGTCCTGCATGAAGCTGAACTTGTCATCGCCGGGAGTGAGATAAGATGCTCCAGTGGTTTCTCCCAACCACATGGCTTGTTTCGCATCGGAGGTAGTCGCAGGGAATTCGGCGAGATTTCCTCCACTAGGGTTGCCAGTCTTGATGAAGTTCGCCCAGTAGCCGGACATTTGTTCTTGGAGAGCGTAATCCTGTTCAGTCCAGGTGAGGTTGTAATAGGTGGGGATGTTACCGAAAGCATACCATAATTCAGCACCGTGATAGACGCCTTCGGTCTGGTTGGGTGGGGAGTGAGTGAAATAGTAGACGTAGACGTTGCTCTTGGCGCCGCCGGCATACCACGCTGTAGCCCAGTCCCAAGTCGACGTACGACTTAAATCGCGGTACATTTCGTTGCTCAAGGTGTTAGCGTTGCTGTCGTTAGAGGCGGGATACAAGTCAAAGAATCGGGTAGAAAGGTTGCCGAACATCTCGGTGTACTGGGTGGTGAAGGTGTCTAAAGTGAGGCCTGGCGAAGGACTAGAGCCGGATTCATCGGCATTGTTTCCGGTCAAGATAGGGATATCAGAGTGGGCATTCAAGGATAATGATTGTCCGTAATTATGGGGAAGAACATAGCCATCGATAACTGGGCGCCAAGCAGGGGGTTCCATGAAAGCACTCACATTCTCGAAAGCGGTACCAACGAGAACGGTATCGGAGTTGAAGTTGTATTCCAGAAGAGTTTCCATACTGAGGTTGCGCAGTTCAGCAATTGTGGTAACGTTCAAGGTAGATAGGAACTCTACACCAGCTGCTTCTGCTGCGTCCTTGTCCCGGTGACTGGTAGCTAGAGTGTATGTCTCAGGATCATGAATACCTCGGGCACCACTCTCGGGGATACATCCCACAATCATTCCATCGGTCAATGGGCTGTACATCATGTCCAAAGCACTAGCAGATCCAGCAGATTGACCACCAACAGTCATGTGATCTGGATCACCACCAAACGCTGCGATTTCCGAACGAAGGAATGTTGAAGCTTGGATCTGATCCAAGAGACCGTAGTTACCAGAGGCATTATGGCCCGACTCAACAGATAGATCAGGGTGAGCAAGGAACCCAAATGGTCCCATACGATAGTTTAAGGTCACAACCACGATATCCTTGGATGCGAGGTGAGTACCATCATAAGTTGGCACACTTCCAGACCCAAGCTCAAATCTTCCTCCGTAGATCCATACATAGACTGGGAGCTTCGAGGTGGCTGTGGCATTGGCAGGCGTCCAGATATTCAGATACAAACAATCTTCCGAGATAGCTGTATTGCCTGAAGTAAAAATTCCAACCTCGCTAGCACCTTGGGGACAATCGGCGCCGAAGGTAGTTGCGTTGAGGACGCCGGACCAGGGGGCAGGCGAGGTAGGTGCAGTCCATCGCAATGAGTCAGTGGGAGGCGTCGCGAATGGAATACCCTTGTAAACATTAACATTGCTGTTAAGTTCTGAAACACCACCTTGGAGTGTACCGTAAGAGGTGGTTACTTGGCGGTTGGCGCGGCTATAAATGGCGGCTCCGGAGACGAGACGACTGGCTGCGAGACCAGCGAGGAGAGGGAAGTAAACCATCCTGAATAAGTACTATAAACTTTACAGAAGGTTTGAATGGATAGAGAGCCCTTGTGGAAGGTGGTCACAGGCAAAATAAAGAGAGTGACGCTGATCAGTTATTCAAAGAGTGCGGGAAGTACACAATGATATTTATGGACTGAAGAACGCAAATACGAAAGACACTTAGGCATATATATACAGGTGTGTGTATGTGTGTGTATTTCTGTATGGATATGTATTCGTGTTTGTAGGTGTTCATCTACCTAGCTACTCAGCATTTGCGATGGACCCTGAAGGCATGGCTCTTTTCGAGCCTCCATAGCCCCAAAGCGTTGTCATCATGAAGATTACGCGGCAACGCATTTTTCGTGGTGAATCAGATCTGACCAAAGATTCCTCGTGTAATAGCTGACCAAGATTGTTTTTTTTACGGGGCAAACACGTAAACAATGAACATTTATTCTGGGGGGGGGGGGGGGGGGTGGCAGGCGGACAATGACGAATCTTATATAAGTGCCGAAACGTCCGAGTAGGGATCCCGTAAATAAAGTTTTGCATCCGAGTGGTCCGTGTGCACAAGATTTCCGAACCAAAAACACACTGGTTATTAAAATGTAACCTTATGTGCCGTACCGGCTCTACTATGAACTTATTTTTGGACTAGCTAGGTCCATTTGTTCTATTTCTGCCAGAAGACTTCTTCCAACGCATAATTGATACATTATTTTATATTGCTCTAATCCCCCTTCTCCATCATGTCACGCGTCTGACCAAATCGAAGATACTACATCAAATTCTCATGTGTAAGGCTTCTCTCTTAGTTTTTCCCGTTAAAATGAGCTTGGTAGGTTTCAGAGAAGGAGGCGAGAGCTCATTGTGTTATCGATGGTCGGCAGTTGAACGATGTGAAATTAAGTATACGATAGGAGCTGGTGAATTTGAGTGTGTTCAATTTATGATTGGGAAGTTCTCTCGGCGGAATTCCAATTTTGTATAATGCGCATTCGTCAGAAAGTCTTTCCATGCCAAGTATCATCAAAACCTGGACGTAAAGCCTTACTATCTCAACAATAATCTATAAAGCACTATGCAATTCTTGTGCGCGTCACCAAAAGTGGCTCCCGCTAGTTTCTAGAGTGAAACATGTGTTCGTCAAGATGCAACTTGCGGTAAGCAACCATTCGTATGTAAATGAGATGAAGATCTTCATAGAGAGGATATCGGGACCGAAAGCTCATCAACGGATGGATAGTTCCACCCCTCTCTGAGAGGTCTGGTGGTGTACCTGTTTTAGTTTTGATCTTGCACAGTATATCTGATTTGTTAGTTCGTTGTTTCCAAGTTGCACTTATTCATTCACTAATCCGTGTTCCTCGAGGGCTTTGTTTTGATAATGCGTCTTTCCTCGTCTGTTCTTTCTCCACTGGGAGCGACAGTCGTTGCAGCACAAAATGCTACTGTCTCTTCCTCAATGCCACAAGTCACTTTAGACTATTGTACCGTTCAAGCTGCTGCTGCAAATCTCTCAGCTGGTATCTATAAATACCAGAACGTTCGATTTGCTGCTCCTCAATGGCCACCAGTTGAAACTGAGGTTAACGATGGTACACTTGCCGCATCAAATGTTGCATGCACAAGCGCTGAGGATTGCTTGTTCATGGATATTTATGTACCAGCTAATGCTACGGGAAAGAAGCTTCCTGTTTTGCAATGGACTTACGGGTAAGTATAATGTTCTGTTGTTGCTTTCGGACATCGAAACATACTAACGAAGGATGTATACAGAGCTGGAGCGAACAAATCCCATACTACGCCCGAAGGTCTCTATGATCTCAGCAAAGACTTCATCTTTGTCACCTACAACTACCGAGATGGTATTGTCGGTGTTGCTAACGGGCCAACCTTTACTCACGAAGGAGGCGCCACAAATGCTGCCGTTCGTGATACAGAACAAGCATACAAGTGGACTCGCAAGTACATCAGTGCTTTTGGAGGGGATCCAGATAATATTGTTGCTTTGGCTTTCTCTGCTGGTTCCTCGCAAACGCTTGATCAGATCACTCGTTATGGAGGCAATGCTGAGCAGCTCTTTGCTCGCGCTTACCTCACTTCCCCAGGTACAGTCCCTGGTTCTGGTCACCAGCAAGCCGAGGCTTTCTGGCAAAATGTCTCGGCCACTGTTGGTTGTAGTGGTGGTGGTTTGGATTGTATGCGTGCGGTCAATTACACAACTCTCAACACAGCTGTTACTGAGGTTATATCTTTGTATTCATACACACTACAACCACGAGTTGATGGCGATATAATCAGTGATACATGTAAGTTTTACCATCAAAACTTTTTCTCTTCAATGCTTCATTTGAAATTGCCATATTGCTAACCGATGTTGTATTCTAAAAACAGACGAAGCAGAATTTTACGCTGGTCACTACAATTGGACCGGACCATTAGTCATCACCCACGAGCTTCACGAGAAGAACAGCGACGTTACAAGCGGTATCAATAGCACCGCTGATGTTGCCGATAAAATACGCATGTACTTTCCTGGGATTACTGACACTGTCATCAACCAAATCCTCGCTCTCCATCCCGAAAGTGATTACGCTTCTCCTGGACTTCGCTTCTCAGACATAGAGCAAAGCTTCGAATTGACTTCGCATAATCTGGCTTTGACCAACGGTCTTCACAACCAAACTTGGAATGCGATGGTTGCATTAGGTGAAGCTACTCATGGTACTGATCAGGATTATTACTGGTATAGCACGTACGCTCTCTCTGGGGATATTCAGACTAGTCCAGTCAATGCTACCACGGCGCGAATCATGCAAAAGTATCTTTTGTCTTTCGCATTAACTAGCAATCCTAATACCCTTTGGCCAAATGACAAGATGGAATGGCCTTTATATAACACCAGTACCAACGGTGTGGAAATTGTTTACAATACAAGTATGTACTTGCAAGCGGATTCTTTAGCCAAAGCCAAATCTCGATTTTGGAATAAGGCTTTGTGGTATTAGGATCTTGGTTATTTTCTGCAGTATATAGCATTTATAGATAGTACATCAAGGTTATAAGCTCGGAAGATTTCATCTTTGTTAGCTCTCGACGGTAGTGTTGATTAATATGCTTTAGACTTTAGACAGTTATATACTATAAAGGGATTACTAGAACATGCTTTTCCTGCATCTTTCAAACTGGCTCCCTGAATTATTTGAACTCTTTTCTGCTGCCCTTCAAGCTTTTGAAATCTTCAACTTATCACGAAGCGAACAGACAGGCAAGGTAACAACCGAGGTGTAACGAAATGAATGCCCAGTTCCGAGAAGAACCTCAACTCGTGAAGAAATTACTTTGAAGCTATAATTCCACGAAAAGTTTTTAGATCGCAGTGATTATCTTCGCAAGCCAAACAAATACGGAGAATGAAAGTTGTGATTTTTGTCGTCTCAATGATTTTCATCGTTTAAAAGAACATCCGTAATGAGCAGGCAGACAAATGCATGGGGTGTTCAGACCTTTGCGGCCCACTCTCTCGATTTACTGTGAGCAGTAGGGGACTATTCAGGGGACGAGGTAGAGTATTCGCTTATCTATGAGACGTGGTAAAATGAGGCTAGTAGAAAATTTTGTATCTTCATTTTATTTTAATGGCAAATAATATTGAGGTAATTTAATACAAGTATGGGTTTCTAGCATTCATCTTGGATATGATCGAAATTCCATTCAAGTCCACTGAAGAAAACCTCAATTCGTACTTACTTACATCGTTATTCAAGATGTGTATATTATCTTGTGTACCACAAAAATAATGCTGAAAACATGCTCGTTCAAAATGCACATCACCATGGCTGGCTTGCTTTGGAAGGCAGTACTAGGCTCTCAGGATGCTTACTAATCAACTAAATGAAACGAAGCTATAATAGGAAGGAGAGAAGGATTGAACAATGACGTCGAAGTGTCTTCTTATGACAAGCTGTGTTGCATATCTACACTTTTCATTTACAAGGCCCACCCTGGCAAGCGTGTAAAGTGGACAATTGTAGGCGTACTTGATTTCACTAGGTTTGATACTAAGTAGGTAGATCGTGCAATCTTATGACATTTACTCCATGGTTTATCTACACTATTGGAATAGAAACCTTGAATGAGAATTAACACAGGATCTACTATCCTCGCTGTCGATACTGTTTAAACTTTCACGAGTATCTTCTTCTTGTCAAATAGAGAGGGGGTTCTTTTTGTTTGAATATACTGAACGTGAGATTCAAAAGATTCACTGCAACTTTCTTAAAAGAACAACTCTCTGTAATGGTACAATCTCCCAAGCATCTGACGCAGCTCAAGACTAGAACCACAGATGAAAGAAGCTTATGTGCAAGCTAGCCAGGAATATTACGATATCTGTGAAACCCCAGAGATGTACATACTAACCCCACAATGAGCTTAGAAGAAGAAGCGGGGCAGGAAGATCGAGTTGTTCCATCACATCTTGTGCCTCAAGAGATGCTGAGTAAATGGATGAATCGAATTTTTTCGTTAATGTCTTAATTATTCGAGAGGAAGATCTCACAATTGCACATATTCCTTCAATCATCAAACTGCCATGATATTCAAGCAATCCAAAAGATGAGATATCCTGGATCATTGTTAAAGATCTCAACGCTACAAAATAAAGTATAGCCTGGCTGCTCGCTAGGTTCTTAAAAACTTGCTACCTTTTAACTCTAGTACATTGAATGATAGCTTTAGTACCATGCACTAGATGGAATATAAACTGTCATCTGTACTTAAGAAATCTCCCTCGTTTCTTCTTTAATTTTTCTCCCGTTTGCACCGACAGATATACGATTAAGACAACGCTTGCTCTCGACCATTTATCAATACATTTCTTGCCATATATACCTATATCTGAAGCCATATCAAAGATAAACACATGTATGTATTTGTAGCACGACCGTATAGCCCAGCCAATTATATGTAGACGACGCAAGTCCCGTGCATTGTGAGATTGTGATAGTTGGTTCTAATAATCTTTTTCAATAGCACTGTTACCATCCAAATAAAACTCCAAACGAAGAAGTTTGTTATTCGTCAACATGAAGAATCTCTTTAACAGCTATAAAGGCTCCAGTATGTGGAACATCATCAAAGCAAAGAAGAAGTCCCCCGGAGAAAAAAAGCCTTTCGAAGAGATAAAATTCGAAACGACCCCGGTACATGGCATATACAAAACCGACAAAACTAGAAGAAGATTTCTCGTTGCCATCCGACAAATAAGAAATCGAAGAGACAGTGAAGGTATATTTCAAGACGCTCCTACCAGCACTTCTCCCAATGTTTCCTCTGATCAACCCTCTTTCACGAATAGTGAGGGTAGCGAAAGCCTCGCTGCAGGCTACAGCTACCTTCGCGATCAACTTGAGGTACAATACAGTGAGATTCTGAATCGTTGGATGTTTAAGGAAGAGCTAGAAAAGCGGTATATTCGACCCGTCGAATGTGGCGGAAAAGCGGTCCACATGTTTCGCCTCGACAATCCCGCCATCTATGTTGTCGTTGTAACTGAAAAGGTGGGAAAAAGTGGAGTGCCATCCTTAAGACCCAAGGCGCATAAAGATCATAAGGGTATCAATGAAGATCTCTGGTGCCGCAACTACCTGAATGGCGCCTTCAGAAAGATGAAAGATGAAGAGGCGGCAAAAGCACGACAGGAAATGGCGGAGAAGAGACATGACGCTTGGTGTGAGACGGGAGATCAACCTTACTTGAAGATCCAGAGATATCTGCAAAGTACTATCTCTTTTACTACACCTTTTGCAAATTGATTTGAAAGGTGTACGTTGGGAGCTGATATTTAAAGTCGTTTGGGCGTCTCATGGAAGCAAAGATCTCCTTTTCTTTATGCCAACTGGGCATAAAATCACTTTACTGCATATTACGGCTGCGCTCGCAGATATACCAAGTGGAAATCAATTTGACAACAACAATTTCAACTCTCGAAACTAATACACGACCACGAATCCCCCTAATCATCGAACTTTAGATGAACAATCAGAAGGCTTCTAGGCGCCCCTGATTGATAGCAGCCAAGTTTCATCTTGAATCCGAGAATGAGCTTCATTCTCAAACAGACATCAGACGGAATGGAATCTTCGGATGAACTTTACAAACTGCGCCGAAACACCACAAAATTTGAAGGAACAGGATTCATGATGAAATGCAATCATTTCACTCAATCCAGAACGTCTCGATAAACTTCCGACGTCAAAGTTATAGTCGTACCCACAAAAGAATCCATTCAACCAACAAGAATGTGGCATTGATGTTTGGTGCTCAGATTGAGCGGAAGATACTTGCGTAAGCTTTCCGGGTCGATTTTTCTTACGAGGTTTTCGACTTTACCAGATATTTGGAACATTTCAGTCCTCATCTCTTACTAAGAACGATACTTGTGGATGCCATCCATCCTAGATTGTCAGCATTATAGCAATCAACAATGGCATGGCTGAAGCATGAAGATGTACCTATTATTAGGGGTTTGCCGGCATCAACAGGGATAAAGAATGCCGTTAACATGGTTACCATGAGGATCTCCATCGCGCCTACAGTGTGTATTACTTTACTGGCACAGCCTGCGCCTTGCTGAAATTAATCTCCTGTAATGCTGGATTTAAATTTCATTATGCAAGGCCTGTCCGATAACTATTGACCCCTCTTCAATTAAATACAAAGTCGACTACTTTCGTCGCATGGTCGCACAGTTGCACAGTCGAAAAACAGAGTTTATATTCACCAGTTTAGAGTTGTACCCAACAACACCTGATACTCATCACGCCAAATCACGAAGTCACACAGCTACCTCACCAATACACTGTCTTATGATCATAGTACAACACACGACGAGCTCATGTCGGCAACTATAACTTTAACGATGGCGCAGACGTCGGGAATCGAATCTGCATGTCCTAATTGTGGAATGGCTTTACCGCACAGCAGTTCGCAGATTGCAGCTGATGCGCAGAAAGAGATCGAGGAATTACAAGCTCAAGTAAAGTTACTGACGGATAAAGCGACCGCCGCAGGTAGGCTTCTCTTTATAAACCTTTGATCTTCTAGTGCTAACGATATTGCCAGTGGATAAATGGGCAGACTACGAAGACGAAATCCAATCACTTAAAAGGGCGAACTACCAGCAAACTACAGAACCTCAGCGCGCAACGACACCAACACAAGGGCACACTGAAGACCGACTTGGAAGCCCGAGTCGTTTCTCATATCTGCCTGTCCAGAATCGGCTTTCTTCTCTGCTATCTCGCAAGTCCACGCCGAATCTACAAGCTCAGCAACCGCCAACACCGCCAACGCCTTCTACAACAGAGTTAGTAGCTGCCTTGACCAGGGAGCAAGGGTTACGACAGGCTGCGGAAGGCAAATTAAATGAATCCAGTGTGGAACTGGAAGAACTGACGGCACAGCTATTCACACAAGCCAATGAAATGGTTGCTACGGAACGAAAGGCAAGGGCGAAACTCGAAGAGCGAGTTGAAATTTTGGAACGAAGGGATGGAGAAAAGAGAAAACGACTGGAAAGGCTTGAAGGCGCAGTTCAAAGGATTGAAAGAGTCAGGGGTCTTTTGGCACCGGGACGATGAGAAGAGAAAACACGACGATACGACTAAATGCATTAGGATAAGACAACGAGGAGCACAGATTATGGAAAAGGGGCTACGGAGTTATGTGCGTATGCGGCAGAAAGTCGCAGTTTCGAGTCATGCAAAATCATCCCAAGAGAAAGAACGATTTATAAACCCCGAGATATCTTCGGCAGCAATAATGGCACAGATATCAAGGTCTCAATACCATTCCCAACCAGCGCAGTCCTCTCCCACCGAGCCACGCCCACAGAATAGTCATCCTTCTCGTCCAAGACTTCGCGATGTATACAGACCAGTACATTTAGCTGAGGCTTCGGAAATGGAAATTTGGCTAATAGATCTATGGAAAGACTTCCTGCTCGAACCTACACCTTACCTGGTTTTGTCTGCTACCCTCTACTTGGGCCTCTTTATAATATTATTGCAGTATTATCCGACTATCTTGAATATTGCCTACTTTCTTATTCAGCTTATACCTTGGGATGTCGATTTTGGAGCACCGGACTATCAATTCTGAGAATACCTTGAAATGCATTTGTTTGGCGCGTGTTAGATATGATACCCTACTTGTATATATTTTTACTATAGATTTTTAATACCTGCCAGGTGGAGGTAGATTAGTATCCACCACTAATATTAATTGTTTTCAAACCAAAATATTTCACAACTACATTCATGTATAACAAGTATCTGATGATAAAAGGCGAAGCGGGTGGTATCTCATTCAACTTGAGGGAATCTCATCGCTATGTAACGCCAGTAAATCTTGAGCAAGCAACTCAGCTACGCATTTTATGCACCCTACTTTCCAATGGTCAGAAATAATCTATCACCCACATCTCCCAAACCTGGTTTAATCATGCCCTTCTCGTTGACCTCCTCATCCACACCCGCACACCAGATCTCAGTTCCCTCAGGCCACTCTCTAGCTGCATTCTGCAAGCCCGGTAATGCAGCCAACACGCTCAATACAATGATTCTCTTAACACCCCATTCCCTCAATGTACGAATGGCAGCAGCGCAAGTTCCTCCTGTAGCGATAACGGGATCGAGTAGAATTGCGAGCTCAGAAGCGGAGGTGTTGGGGGTGTTGGAGGGAGATGATGCGGCGGGTGCGTGGTAGGGAAGATTGTTGTAATATTCGACGGGCTCGAGAGTGGTGGGTTCACGGAAGAGTCCAAGATGATGGATTGGGGTTGGGGAAGGGAGGAGTGTTTGGAGAGCTTCGACCATAGAAAGACCGGAACGGAGAATGGGGATTAGGGAAATGGAAGCGGGTGTTATGGTAGTTGTTGTATAGGTGTATCCGAGGGGTGTTTTGGCCTGGTATAATTTGTTAGTTTGGTTGCGGGGGTGGAATTGAGAAATGGTGGAGAGGGAAGAGGGCGGGGAGGAATGAACAAATGCATGAACATACAGTTGGACCTTTAGAAACAGTAAGTCCAGCGGCGGTAGCTTCACATCCTATTATCAATGAGATTTCATTAACAAGAGCTTTCGTTTCGCGAGTATTAGCCTCGCTGGATCGTAATTGTGAGAGTTTGGCTTGGAGACATGGATGGGTAGAGATGTGAACGTTAGGTGGGATTGATTCATTCATTTTGAAGCTTCGCACAATTATTGTTCAAACTGTGAAGATGTTGTAGATACTTTTGTGATATTGATCAAATGTACAAAGTCAATGATAGGAGTGAAGCTTTATATTCCTTTGTTTATGAAGGGTGGACGTTGATGACTGCTTGCTGTTTTGCAAGCTATGTGTTATGTATTCACACCTGCAGCTAGAGGCCGAGCCCAACCGCCCACATTTTATCAGTGGAGCCCAGACCTTATCAGTCGAATCGCAAACGGGCGGTCCCCGAGTGGATCTCCCATCAATCTAACTTTAAAAAGACGGCAACTATTAAACATGTTACAAGGTGACGTCGGAATTTTCCCTTCAATAATGGGATTTAGATAATATCAATAGAAGTGTCACGGCCTTGGCATATAATTAGATAATGCCAATGGAGAATGCAGGTACCAAAGATACTGGAAATGAGTCTTACGACATCAAGGCCAATTCAACCCACTCGAAGTCAAGAGACAGACCATCGCAAGATCGACGCGCGCGGGAGGCGCAAGATGCGGGATATGATTCACCAAAAAGTTATTCTCGACTCGATGAAGGCACTGTGCCGGCGCCGAGACAAAACACGGATGGGAACCAATTGAGACAAAGTCAACCTCAAGAACATACGAATAGTAGAGAGCAAAAAGCACGCCGTCGCGCAAGCCAAGCTTCCAAAAGGGGTAGCGATTACGATATTCCAGATGATTATGTCCATCTAGATGAACTTGCTACACCATCATCAGTGGAAAATCGCCATGAAGGTCCGTCATATAAGCATAAATCTTTAGAAGAGGCTAAAGATGAAGAGCAAAAATACGAGCAGGAACATAGAAGACAAGAGCAGACTAAACGAGATGGTATTGCTAGAGGAGAAAGACCACTGGCAGAGGAGAAGAAAAATACCAGTCCCCCAAAGGTCTCACAATTCGCGACAAAGTTATATACCATATCCTATCTAGTTCTATTTTCAATATTTGGAACATTGGCTAGACTAGGTCTCCAAGCCATTACCTTCTACCCCGGAGCTCCCATAATCTTCAGCGAGCTATGGGCAAATGTCGGAGGAAGTGTATTCATGGGATTTCTAGGTGAAGACAGGATGTTATTCAGAGAAGAATGGGGAATCGCTACCTACCACCACAAAATTCAGGAATGGAAAGCCAAAGTTAAAGATGAAGAAAATCTAGGCTCACTAGCCGTGGAACAAAATCCCGATTTACAAGCTGCTAAAAAAGCACACGCTGCAACTAAAAAGACCATTCCATTGTACGTTGGTCTTGCAACGGGCTTTTGTGGTAGTTTTACATCCTTTTCATCGTTTATTCGAGATACGTTTTTGGCGCTTTCAAATGATTTGCCGAGTCCCCTGAATCATCCTCAAGATTATAGTTCAATTATGGCCAGCACAACGAGTACTGTGAGTCGGAATGGAGGATATTCTTTCATGGCGACGTTGGCTGTTATTATTGCGACTGTCTCGTTGTGCTTGAGTGCGCTATTATTCGGCGCTCATCTTGCCATATTTCTGGAACCATATACACCGAGTTTATCATTTCACAAGTCTCGCAAGTATCTAGACCCTTTTGCGGTATTTTTAGCGTGGGGATGTTGGCTTGGTGCTATATTTCTGGCTATTTTCCCACCCGATAGAAATGACGCACCGCCTGAGATATGGAGAGGTCGCGCGGTTTTTGCCCTCATATTCGCACCTATAGGCTGTCTAGCCCGTTTTTACGCCTCTCTTTACTTGAATGGCAAAATCTCTTCATTTCCACTTGGAACATTTGCAGTCAATATGTTTGGGACGGCAATGATGGGTATGGCCTATGATTTACAACATGTGCCTTTAGGAGGTGTGATTGGATGCCAGGTATTACAGGGGATAGAAGATGGGTTTTGTGGATGTTTGACCACGGTTAGTACGTGGGTAGTGGAGTTGAGCTCGTTAAGGAGGAGTCATGGTTATAGGTATGGGTCGGCGAGTGTAATCGGGGGATTAGCCTTGATGGTGGTAATTATGGGGAGTTTTAGGTGGACGCACGGGTTTGAGGGGTTGGTATGTACGCATTAGAAGTTTGTTGCTGGACTGTATAGAGGTATTAATAAGTTAATTTTTGTGGTAAGTCTATGAGTAGAGTTTGTTTTACTAGTCAGGTAGTTTGTGTAGAATTCAATATGCACTAGGAGGTTCGGGGAGAATTCGACGATACATGAAGTTGTGGTAGAATGGCTTCGTTGCATAGGTAGATACCCGTCTGAAACTTCGGAAGAATACCTTCAAGAATCAGCTTTCATACTGCCACTTTTTTGCCTCTTCTTGCTTCTCTGCTTGCATACAGAATTCTGCGCGTCTTCACAAACTTGTCTCAACACGCCGGATGGATACTCATGCTAGTGCACTCCAAAAATCGATCATTTTTAACATCATTCCAATTTTCTCTTATCAGAGCATCAATGTCATGACTATTCACAATATAAAATGTGATATTCGGTACATTTGTCAAATCTTTGCCTTCAATATCTAGCCTTAATGCCAACCCTTTCCCTTTGAAATCCCAACACTTTTCCAGATAGCACCGTCTTCTGCCACTTTCTGTTTTCTCTAAAACCTCTGAATTGCTAACGCATAGACAAAATTATGATTTGTGAGCAAATTTCACGGAGAGAGCCGAAGTATAGTGTTCGAACGAGTGGAGAAAATCAAATAGTTTTGCGAAACACGAGGAAATCGAGAACTGGACTTTTATGAACAGGACTAGAAATATGAGGACCTTATGGAGGTCGATAATGTGCGAAAGGTATGGGGAAATCTGAATCATGGATGTTTTACCCAAACGGCTGGCTGAGATGTAGCTGCTGGCGGTATTAGTTTGGCGGGCCAAGCATGGTTTCTATCCTCTTTTTTCAGTTAGCATGCCCGTTGTTTGTGATGGAAATGCCAAGGTTGGTGATATAGATCTTGTTCTTTTACGAGGTTTGCAGTATATGGAAGTTGCCGTTTAAGGTGTCCTGTTGGGCGTTTCCTAATTTCTCAATTGGCTTCACCGCATGTGTTATTCAATATGTCGAGGGAAACTCGGAGAGTGAGCCCATATATCTTTTGACTTCTAATTGTAGATGCCACAAGATCTATATAAGACGATAGATTCTTATAATTTCTTTCTTCATCGAATGCAGTGGAGGAGAAGGAGAGTTAGCTCCCGGCATTGACATTCACATATCCAAACCCTTTCAGATGCTTTTACAGCAGCTCACATATGATCACATCATCATGTCAATCATCGAAAATTTACCCCCTCGATCCCTCATGATCGTCACAGCCCTTGGAATATTGACCTACCTCCTCTTAAACTTCCTATGCTCCGTCTGTGATCCCCTCGAACCTCCTCTGGCTACAACACGAATTCCGTATATCGGTCACATTCTTGGACTTGGACGACGAAAATTCAACTACTATGTTGATCTGAGCCAGAAAACATGTCTCCCAATCCTTACAATACGTATTCCGGGCGCCAAAATGTACATTGTGAATACACCCGAGTTAATCCAGGCCGTCCAAAAACTACCCAAAACACTCGCTTTTCCGCCTATTTCGGCAAAATTCGCTAATCAACTTTGTGGAGTTAGTAGGAAGGCGAGGGACGTATTGGCGGTTAATGTTAATGGAGATGAAGGCGATTGGGGTTTGAATATGGAGGCGACGCATGTTATGAAGAGGGCGACGGCGCCGGGACCAGGCTTGGATGGCATGAATAGGGTCATGGTTGGGATTGTTGCGGAGAGCTTGAATGGATTGATTGGGGAGGGAAAGGAGAGTGTGCAGATTGGACTTCATGCGTGGTTGAGAGCTTTGATTACTATGGCGACGACGGAATCGGTTTATGGACCGAGAAATCCTTACAGGGATGTGAAGGTTCAGGATAGCTTTTGGTATTTCTCTCTGGTGACTTGTGTGAAGTTTTGGAGACTAATAATTGCGTTAGGGAGTTGGAGAGTCAGATGATGAGATTGCTAATCGGAATACTGCCCTCTATCTTTGCTCGCAAAGGTGTTGCAGCACGCAGAAGAGTCACAAAAGCTTTCGAATCATATTACGCAGGAAATGATTTCAAGGATGCTTCTCTGCTTGCGCAAGCTCGTCTACAGGTCAATGTCAAGCATGGCGTTCCAATTAAAGATGTTGCTAGATATGAAACTGTCATCGGAGTTGCTATTATTGTCAATACTGCACCTGCTTTGTTCTGGTTGATATTCTTCATTTTTTCGAACTCCAAGCTCCTGGAGGAAATACGCGGTGAGATTGAGGCAATTGTGGAAACAAGCTGTAATGAGGATGGAAGTTTGACACGAAGTCTCGATCTTACGGATGTGAAGACAAAATGCCATCTTCTACTATCGACTTTTCAAGAAACCCTTCGTCATCGATCTGCCGGGACTTCTGTCCGGAGAGTCATGGAAGATACTTTACTGGATGACACATGGCTATTGAAGAAAAACTCCATTATTCAAATGCCCGGTCGTGTTATCCATATGGATTCCAAGATCTGGGGACCAGACGTTGCAGATTTCAATCCTCGACGATTTCTCAAAGACAAAAATATCAAACGTCCCAACCCAGCTGCGTTTCGTACATTTGGTGGCGGTACCACTTTATGTCCCGGTCGCCACTTTGCTACGAACGAGATATTGGCTGTCGTTTCGATGTTTGTGATGCGGTTTGATATGAGGCCAGCCAAAGGAGAATGGAAACTGCCAAAATCTGATAATACGAATGTGACTACTGTGATAATGGAACCGGATACAGATATCGATGTAGTAGTGTCTCAAAGGAAAGAGGTTGGGGATGGAAATTGGACATTTAAGTTATCGGACTCCAAGGCCATAACTTCGGTTGTTGTTGAGGATCGTGTTGACTCATAATATGCTGCACTGAGTATTGCTACTCGTGTGCATTGCAGATAATTGCTTGTTTTTATGACGTCATTAATTTGCATGGTATAGGTATTCAATGGCATTGCTAGCGTCTTAGCCTGTTATCTCCCATGTTCGAATATTTTTTTGGAATTATTTGCTTCGACATTACTAGCTTTGATCAAAGCCAACCGAACGTGGAAGACTTTGACCTCAATTTTGCATCTAGTTCCTGAATCTCCATTTGTTGTAACAAATTCATGCGTGATATCACACGTCCAATAAACAGCTTCCTCTCCCTTCCCACCGCCATCATCCCTCAAATCCACCACCACTTCCACGTCCTCTTTTTCCATAAGTTCTTTGACCCTCAACTCATTAACTTCCATCAGCTTTCCCCGCTTCACAAAATTCAATTCCTCGGCACCGTCAACCGGCACAAAACTTACAGATTTTAATTCGCGGTTGATGATCCCCTTACCAGCAAACTCCATATCCATCAATGAGTAACCTAAAGCAGCCAAGACACCGATAGGATTTGGATCTTTGCCATAGACCCCCATTTTGAAAAGGACAGAACGCGCGATAACGGATGCAATTTGTTTACCTGCTGGGTAGGTCGGCGCACCTCGTACTCGTATTGTAATGAATTTAGTTGCGCCTTCTCCATCCCTTACCACCAGCTTTGCGAGATCAGCAATAAACTCAATGAGAATCTTTTGGAAAGCGACAAAATCTTCGGACTGAGATACCGCCAATGTATCAAAGTCGATTGGAGAATGTGTAGGTGCTGCCGCACCATTAGCGAACATAGTGACCATATCGTTAGTGCTTGTGTCTCCTTCAATAGAGATGCGATTGTAACTTTTATCAGCTGCCGTACTTAAAAGTTGTTGAAGAGCAGGAGGCGTAATGGGTGCGTCGGTACAAATTATACCAAGTGTGGTAGCCATGTTTGGATGAATCATTCCGGCGCCTTTAGTGATGCCCGCGAGAGAGAATTTGGTGGTTGGTAATGATGGGAGAGTGAAGGTGCGGGATGAGAGTTTAGGGAAGGTGTCAGTCGTGCAGATGCCCCTGGCGGCTTGTAGCCAGTGGTTATGAGTGGTACCCATATTCTGATGGAGTTTTGGGAAGCCTTGGATGATGTCATCAATAGGGAGTCTGTATAAAATTAGCGAGCAAAGGATAACCATGTTAAAAACCTTACCGCTGGCCGCCCATACCTAGGTCCGAGTATTTCAGTCAGTTCATTGTTCTCATGCATAGGAAGGAATTGAGGGACCCAAGTATTTTGTGATATTCACTACCCAGGGCGATAAGGGTAAGCAATCCTCTGGAACATCAACTTGCCTGTATGCATGACCATTACCGGGTCTTTTCCCTCCCCATTTCCCTCACCCCAAATCATTCCCCCCTCTTCACTCATCTTTCTTGAATCCTCTAGCCCTTTCTCTCCCGTGAGTAAATTTGCACACCACGAATTTGCAATTACACCTCTCACTCCCCTCCCCCGGCTTTCCTTTATTAACTCTCTAGTAACAAGTACACTGGGAGCTGGAAATTCATTCTTTGTAAGAACAGCAGCTCCACATGTCTCCCATTGCTTCTCGCTCGTCACTAAAATCAAGTCTGGCTGGGATAAGCCTGATGGTTTGATCCCGACATTTGTACTACCGACTAAAAAGCCTTTGGGATAGGTGCCAGATGTTGGGACGAAACGCTGTTTGGAAGCAGGAATGGGGGAATTTCCAAATGAGTCAAACTTGGTAAATGAGCGGTATTGGATGTTGACCTGCAAAGGCTTCTTGCGGAAACACGTGGCGACAATGTGAGAAACTCGATACATGATTGTAGCTTTAATTGAAAACAAAAATAAGATATACTTGTCAGTCCAAGGACAAAAGGTTCCTAGGTAAGGTAATAGACAGTTCGTTGATTTCTATGACTCCCATCCCAAGTACTGGTAGCCGAGATCCACTAAGATCGTGTGATAAGCCACATCCTATTTCTCAAAATAATTCCTGGGAATACTACTTTTATAGATCGAAAAAGTTCCATAAATTCATACCTACGTCGAAACAGAGGAAGATATCTCACTGATGTGGATGAGAGATGTCCGATTGTAAAAGAGCATTCTGTGCGCTTTCAACTGACAACAATTTTGAACGAACAAAATGCGGTGAAATCAGTGAGTGTCTGGCTGCAGAGCGAATCATCGAGTAGACCGCTCAAAGTCAATCAATTTTTTGCGAAATATGTGTGGCTAGAGAAGGTTAACGTCGACAAAGTAACGCTTGGTACCTCAGCGAGCTCAGCAAGTAGCACATCAAACACGAGGAAGCCGGTTGAATACTTTAATTGAGCTTGTCAGATTGCTGCGGATCCACTCCATTATTTGGGGAGCTTATCCTACATAAGAGACTTCGTTATGCATGCATGCAGTCGGTCAATCAGGTACGTACCTGATACGACTTCAATATGTATTGCTGGCCCGGGTAACAGTAGCACAACGTATATCTCGCAATAAAGTCGGTTATGATGTGGTTGGTCATTGACATTGAAGCACCTCCCTTATCCGGTAAAGTGGGACTAGCGTTATACCATAAAAGGCAACTCAAAACAAAATCCCCTGTCCTGTCCGAGCCCCCCCCCATCGTCCCAAGCTCCTTCCAAGAACATCCCCGCACGGATTCCGCATCTCGAATACACACAATTCGCCTGTTCTTTTACCCTTACTCAAGTACGAGAGACATACCAAGCTTTGAGTAGCGGCTCAGATGCCGGATAACGGTTAGACCCCTAGGGCTCTGAAGCTCTCTCGGGCTCTGCTTGGTTTATCAGTCAGGTACAGCCCCAATCATCTTTTTTGGTCATCTTCGGCTTCATAGACTACATGGATTTCATTTACAATTCATTTATCATGCGTGATTGTTATCGATTGTTATCCTCCCAAGAAATGGGGATCTACGAAACTATATCGAATTAGTCTCATGGGTCTTGTCGTATGCATGTCGTCCAGATAAGGTAGGTGATACCAGTAAGTTTGGCCTCCCGAGAAAAGAATTGTATGAATACTTGAGGTGAATCCGTGGCATTGTTCACCTCCATTCCTTTCCCTTCTTTTGTTTGTCCCTCTTCTATATCTTTGGGCTCGAGTTTCTCCAAGTCCTCAGTATCCGTCATGAAGTGGTCAATTGTATCCGCGATCTCTTTGCTGGCTGCATTTGCAGCTGCTGAGCACCCGTTTCTTCGCAAAGGGAGGTTGGTGCCACCGATCGAAGCAGAAGACGAATTTCCTGTTTCCACCAATGCAGCTGTTGCAAATACTACAGGTTCTGCATTCTTCACCCAGCTTTTGGATCATGACAATCCTTCCAAAGGAACTTTCCAACAAAAGTTTTGGTGGAACTCCGAATTTTGGGCCGGACCAGGATCTCCAGTAAGAACAACCACGACTTTCAATAATTGTGCTCCAACTGACAATTGTAGATCGTTTTCTTCACTCCTGGTGAAATTGCTGCCGCAAACTATGGTGCATATTTGACTAATATCACCGTTACCGGGCGCTTTGCGCAGGAAGTAAAGGGTGCCGTTGTTATGGTTGAGCGTATGTATTCTCCACTTTCAGAGTGGAAGATATGCTGACTGTTCTACAGATCGTTTCTGGGGCGAATCTTCTCCATATGATAATCTCACAACAACCAACCTCCAACTCCTCACCTTAAAACAAGCTATTGCGGATTTTGTCCACTTTGCCAAGACAGTTGACCTCCCATTCGACACAAACCATAGCAGCAATGCAGCTTCTGCGCCTTGGATCAATTCAGGTGGTAGTTATAGCGGTGCACTCTCTGCTTGGACAGAAGCAACAAGCCCTGGTACATTCTGGGCATACCATGCATCCAGTGCTCCAGTGCAAGCTATCGACAACTACTGGCAATACTTCTACCCTGTCCAAGATGGCATGCCAAAGAACTGCAGCAAAGACGTATCTTTAGTCATTGACTATATGGACAACGTCTTGACCCATGGTAACAAAAGTGCAGTAACTGCACTGAAAACTAAGTTTGGCTTGGAATCTGTCAAGCACAATGACGACTTCATGGCTGTTCTCGAGAATGGTCCTTGGTTGTGGCAGTCAAACAGTTTCTCTACAGGCTACTCAGGCTTCTACCAATTCTGTGACGCAATTGAGGTGAGCAACCTCTTATCTGAATGGTAGATTATGTCCTAACTCGATAACAACAGAACGTCACCGCCGGAGCTGCTGTCACTCCAGATGCGAACGGTGTTGGTCTTGCGACCGCATTGGAGGGTTATGCAAAATGGACCAAAAGCTACATACCCGGCTGTAAGTAGCTGATTGCCAATCAAAGTATTGGGGTACTAACAAAAAGCGAATAGACTGTGAGGGCTTTGGCTACGCTGCCAACGACACATCTTGTCTCGATACACATGATTTCAACAACTTGATATTCAGAGACTATAGTGTTGGAAATGCAATTGATAGACAATGGAACTGGATGCTTTGCAACGAGCCATTTGGTTATTGGCAAGAGTATGTACTGCAAAATTGACATTGTATTGCTAGGGCTAACAATTTTCGCAGTGGAGCGCCCAAGAACAGACCTACAATTGTCTCCCGTCTCATCGATGCGAATTACTGGCAACGACAATGCGCTCTGTTCTTCCCCACCGAGGGCAACTATACATATGCCAGTGCTAAGGGTGCAACTGTGGATCGAGTCAACAAATACACTAAAGGATGGGACCTCGAGAAGACCACTCGTCTTATTTGGACAAATGGGTATGTGACTTTGTCCAACTTGCTAATAACCTGCTAACATGTCGATAGTCAATATGACCCATGGAGAACATCCGGTGTCAGCTCTCAATTCAGACCTGGTGGCGAATTGAAGTCTAATGCGAGACACCCAGTACAAATCATTCCTGGCGGATTCCATTGTTCAGATCTCCGATTGAAGAACGGACAAGTCAATGCTGGCGTCCAAAAAGTAATTGATAATGAAGTGGCACAAATAGTGGCATGGACAGCAGAGTATTACAATCAGACTTCGACTCGCCCATCATATGGAGGAGGACATAGACGAAGATATTAGTACGGCAGTAATCTACAACCAGGTAGACGGAAGAAATCTACTTGATTGAATAATGAGAAATGAAGATGATCATCAACCTTGCAGCTTCTGTGAAAGAAATAGACTGAACCTCAAACATGGTTCTCAAGTTATCTATTGAAGTGTGAATAGTGATAGTCGTAAAGGCAAATAAACGACCTCATCCTTATTCACGTCAAGACGGGTGGGGTTTTCCAGGACGAGCTTACTAGTTCCTTATCGCTTATCGTTAGCCACTTCCGAGCACCACCGCAGAAGCAAGCTGTCCTTCCTCACTATTAGAAATCAAACCAACTTCTGAAAATCAGGTATTTAAATCACAAGAACTCCTTTCAAGCTAGGAGTTTCTTTTCAATCATACAAATACTTACTTCTTTTATTAGAAACGAATCATCAAAATGGTTCTCTTAAAAAGTCTCGTGTTCGCTGGCCTCGCCACAGTTGCAACTGCTTCATCAGCCGTTATCGATCTCATTCCTTCGAACTTCGATCAATTTGCCTTCGAGGGCAAGCCAGCTTTGATTGAGTTTTTTGCACCATGGTGCGGACATTGTAAGACTCTTGCACCGGTTTACGAGCAGCTTGCTTCGGACTTTGCATTCGCAAAGGATAAGGTCACAATTGCGAAAGTCGATGCGGATGCAGAGAAGAGCTTGGGCAAGAAATTCGGTGTTCAAGGTTTCCCAACCATCAAATACTTCGATGGAAAGAGCAAAACACCAGAGGATTACAATGGAGGTAGAGATATCGATAGCTTGACAGAGTTCATCACACAGAAGACTGGTGTTAAGCCAAAGAAGGCGAAGGCTGCCCCAAGTGCCGTCGAGATGTTGAACGATAAGACCTTCAAGGAGCAAATTGGCAGTGATAAGGATGTCATTGTTGCTTTCACTGCACCATGGTGTGGCCGTAAGTCTATCCAGCATCTGCGTTGACAATTACAATGACTTGCTAACTTTTTTTTGTTTCAGACTGCAAGACTTTGGCACCAGTTTGGGAGAAGGTTGCTTCAGATTTTGCCAATGAACCCAATGTTATTATTGCCAAGGTCGATGCCGAAGCAGAAAACTCCAAAGCAACAGCCAAGGACCAAGGCGTTACCTCTTACCCCACAATTAAGTTCTTCCCCAAGGGAAGCACTGAAGCCGAAGCATACTCTGGTGGACGTTCAGAGAAGGATATCGTCGAATTCATGAACAGCAAGGCCGGTACACACCGTGCTGTTGGTGGTGGACTTGATGCCACTGCTGGTACTATCGAGGCTTTGGATGCTCTGGTCACCAAATTCACTGGTGGCTCAAGCATTGCTGAAATTGCCGCAGAAGCTACCAAGGCTGCCCAAGAATACAAGGAGGGCGCACAATCCAAATACGCCGAGTACTACGTCAAGGTTTTCGACAAGTTGAGCAAGAGTGATAACTACGCCGCAAAAGAGCTTGCTAGATTGGATGGTATCATCAAGAAGGGGGGTTTGGCACCAGAGAAGTTGGATGAGTTTACAACTAAGACCAACATCTTGAGAAGATTCATCGAGAAGGCAACCGGAAAGTCTGAATTGTAGAAAGTCTAAGTTGTTCAATGTAAAAGGGGGTAAACGAGTTAGTCTCAACACTAAAAGTTTGTTTTGGATTATTCTCGGGAGACGTAGATAACTGTATGCGAATGAATACTTTATGAATCATGTACTTTTGAATAACTACCTTGGTATCTCGTCCCATGCCCTCCCTTTCCAACGCCCGTTTGTACAATTGTAATCAAACTTCCGTATGCAAATCCACCCACTTTTGACAACGCTGCAATCTATATAGCCCTCATCTATCGGCTCCAAAATTCAATCAAGAATGTGGCAATGTAATTGTACCCTGCAGATTACATCTTCGTAGGGCTGCCTCGGCCATCCCCCTTTGGATCCATATTACTTTGCAGTGTAGCCTCGAGATTGTCTAGACGGCGCGACATCTCGTCCACTATTCAAATACAATTAGTCGTTGTACTCCAGCATAATCCAAAAAGCATTTGAAAGAAGAAGAGTGTTGCGCTGGAAAAGAAAGGAGATACACACTCTTTGCGAAAATCTCGCTCGAGACACCAGCGAATTTATTCGAGAGAGAATTTAGAAGTTCATCTACAACGAGAGAAAGCTCAGCAGTGGCTGAGGCATCGGTTGCTGCCTTTGAGTAGGTTTGATAGTTAGTTACGAGTACGGAAGCTTGAGGTTAGGGCGGTGCTACGGAGAGAATAGTGGTGTTTACTGACAGATGTGGTGGAGATGGTGGACATGCGATTTGGGTTTGGGGATTTAATATCGTTTGTTGCCATGATTGTGGAATAGTTGGTATGATTTTGTAGATAGATAGAGCGACTTTACTATGGTCCAGAATTTGAGGTAGAGACAGTGTAATATTTTGTTTTTGGGTGAGGAAAAGAAATTACAATTATTATTAAGGTGCATGAATACAAAAGTTTCAGCGTGTAATAAGAGTGGTCAGTGAGGATCGGTATTTAAGAGGGGGATGTGCCCGATGATGCCTCACTATAATGATTGATGGTACAAGATATCAAATTCACCAAATCTAAGCATTTCTCGAACTTTGCAGATGCAAAATGTCTTTTCATCTTTCTCATGGATGAATAGAACATGGAATACTCCCACACAGTAATAAGAACAAAAGGATAAACAGTCCGCAAATATGCCACCCCAACGCGGCGATGTCTCTCTTATATTCTTCGTTATCATGGTTCTATGGTGGATTGCGTCCAATGACACCGGACCCCCATCCAACCTCGGAGATTCACAAAATACTGCAGAGGAGCAATTGGCACATAATAGACACGTTTTTGGAGTGTTAAATACAACAAGTTATGGGGATTTCGCACCGGACAAATCGGACGACCCAAGCTATCTGAACTTGACCGGGTTTAAGGCAGAGGATGGATATAAATGGGAGAGATTAAGTGCGTTTAAGGAGAAGAGTGATGAATTGAGGAAATGGGCGAGAGGGGCGCAGGATGGATCGAATTCTAATAGGGATGGCGGCTGGGGATTGGAGGGCAGAATTTATACCAATGTGACGGGAGTGGTGAGGGGAAATTGGGCCAGGTACATGAGTGGTTTAGTAGGTGGGAAGGAGAGAAGGAGCGGATTGAATCTAAGCGTTATTGCGCCGGGGGTCGCTTGGGCCCTTACAGATGAGGAGCTGTGGACAAGGAATGTGACGGGGAGGGAGGGGAAAGTTATGCTGAGGTTGGATGAGGCTGCGGTAGAGGAGATGATTGTGCAGGTGACTAAGGAACGTGTCGCTGAAGGCGAAAGTTCGGCGAAGATTGAAGAAGAAACTTCGATGAAGGAAGCAAGGATTGAGAAAAGAGACATATCTGATGGGATTGAGAGAGTCAATCTTGGAATTGGTGCAAATCCGAGTACAGACATACTTGTAAGGGAGATTGCGGCCACATTAACAGTTCAAGATGAAAGTAGTAGTGGAGATGGACATGAAATGAGGATGCATGGTGTACATTGGCCAAATGAAGGGGGAATTCTTCTAACAACTACCAGTGATAAGTTCGCAGGAGCTTTTGGTCTTCCACATTTTGCCATCGATGAGGACCATTTCACAAGCAGTGCGGAGATTATGAAGAAGATTTGTTATCGCAGACTACAAAAGCTTGAGGAATCTGCGAAGGAAAATCCGAAAAGTCTTCTTGAACCCAATTCGGGCCAAATAGATGGGTTGCCAACACCTCATTGCGAATACATCTTGTTTGCTCAAGTATTACCTTTGAAGTTTAATGGCATCGAATATAATGATAGATCATCTAAAGCACACAATTTTGTCCAAGAACTCGAAAACGAGCTTCGATTCCCAAATGGTGCTCCTATTTCTCAGGCGCCGAAACTACAGCTATCTACCATAATCTTCTCGCCTGATTGTGGATTTATGCTCGAATCGAAAGGTCCGCCAGAGTTTGCTCCCGTGGATGGAGAACACCTTGTTGGTTTGAAGCAAGAGGTTTGGTTAGAAACTATTCGTTCTTGGTTATTGGTATTTGCAGCGGTAGCTCTCGGACAGGCATTGATTCTGAAGGATCAATGCAAAGAGGCTTCTACGCCATCAACTGTGGGTCGTGTTAGCATCCATACTGTTGCTATGATGCTTTTAGCAGATGGATTGTTGTTCTTTACAATGTCACTGGCGAGCGCTACATTATCTAGTATATTTCCATCTGCGTTGTTGACATCATTTGCCGGCCTGATGTCTGTAGCACTTGGAGTTCGCTTTCTCGTAAATATTTATGGAGTTCAAGAACCTGAACGATTGGAGCAAGAAAGAGCACAAGCGGCTGCTTTGGCAGAATTACAAGCTAGAAATCCACCTGCAGCTGTGCGATCAACACCGGTTATCACGGCAGCAGGTGTGGATACCTTACCCTTACCTACCGCGTCTTCAACTCAGGCTCCACCTCGAAACACATCTCAAAATGTTCCCATCATAGTCCCCTCAGATCAAGACGTTGACGCAGAAATAGCTGAAAATGTCAATGCGACATTCGCAGTACCTCGTGCAACGGGAACTCCAGCTGTCGTTCAACAATCGAGAGTAACTTCCGACATAACTCCTTACTATGGCCAGTTCATTCTCCTCCTAACCGTGATACTTCTCCTTTCCATCATGTCCACCACCTGGCCTGTCCCCATCCGCACAGGATATGTCTACCTTTGCTCCTTCACATACATGTCTCTCTGGGTCCCCCAGATAAAACGCAACATCACGCGTAATTGTCGTAAAGCGCTTCTTTGGCGTTTCGTCATAGCACAAAGTCTGCTAAGGTTATCTCCTTTTGCTTATTTTTTCCTCTATAAGGATAATTTTCTCTTTAGTGAGAGTAGTTGGACGGCAATGATGGTTCTAACAGGGTGGGTCTGGTGCCAGCTTGTGGTACTGTACAGTCAAGAGGTTCTTGGTCCCAGATGGGCAATTCCAAAACGGTTCGGATGGTACAAGGAGGGCTGGGACTATCATCCAATACTGCGAGAAGATAATGTTGAGTCTGGAGGTCTACCAATTGGTCTTGTGAAAGTCCCGTTGGGTTCTCCTACGACACCAGGATTTGAGGAAACAGATATGAGTGTGGATGAGAGGGATAATAGTAAAGCGGGTATTAGAACAGTGGATTGCGCGATATGTATGCAGATCCTGGAGGTTCCGGTTGTAGGGATAGGAGAAGAGGAGGGTGCGAAGGGTGTGTTGGGGGCATGGGATAGGAGGAGTTATATGGTAACGCCTTGTAGGCATGTTTTCCATACCCAGTGTTTGGTGGGTTGGATGAAGTATCGTTTACAATGTCCGATTTGTAGGGAAGGCTTGCCGCCTTTATGAGGTACATGGGGAAGTTTCTTAATCGATCATCTAATGGATAGGTCGAAATGGATGAGATGGAAAATAAAAATACATAAACGTACATATTGGATAAGATAAGGCGCGCATTACATAGCGAGATGATGAGCTGCTATTGAACAAATGTGATCGTCAAAGTTTATTAGGCTTGAGCTACAAATTTTCGTTTTCAGTAGGTCTAAGGATATCTGATTAAACAACGACAAATCGTCCTGACAGTGCTTTCGATTTGTTGAGCAGTTCAGAGCTTGCGCCAAGACAACACTTGATGGGCCATCTGGAGTAATCTGAATGCTTGGTGCTTCGACACAATAACCGAATGTTCTTTGCTTTTCGCTCAACGATCATATGACATATGTTGACTGGACCGCCGCCTAGTGGCGCGGAAACGAGTCAAGTATCACGCAATTCAATCCTCATAGCTGTCGAGATTGGAAAGATTGGTTCCCAGATTCCTTGCACCTTGCATGCCTATTAGTGGCAACCAGTATCTTGAATTTTTGTATCACACTAGCTTGAATCATACATAGCCATTCACTGCAGTCTGGTAGTGATCACATCGTGACTGTTTGCCACGTATGGGTAATACAATGCATACACAATGCACAATCCATGATAAACTGCTTTCTATGCATCAAACGATGTGTAGTGTAGAATGTGGTAAAGCGTCAAGGCTTACAACCTTACAAGCAAACTATCGCTGTTGAGGATGGATGGTCTCGCAATTTTATTACTATTAAAGTGAACCGGTTTATAGTTTCCTCAATTGATCTTTACAAAGATCATTTTAAACCTCGTTTTATTCCACTTTCTACTAACCATAATTAAGTCTCCAGACATAAAGATGGCGGCCACGTCCACACTAAACGAAGCATTGCTTGATCGGGATTCTGTTACTAAGGCTCAATTTGAAACTATCGCACGAAAGCTGCTCCAAGACATATCATAGAAATCTCTTATAACGCCTCAAGATGTAGATTTAGAGAGTTTCGTTCTTGAGCAATTATTGGGTGTAGCGCGCGATCAGCACCTCGACCTCCAGAAAATTCCCCAGATTGCCAAATTCAGCGTGCAAATTGTACACATGATCTATCCATGGCACGAGAAGGAGCTTTGAAAGCTTATAGCCATATGCAATGGTTACTTCTACATCATTGATGATTGCGTCCAGGACCTCCTGCCTAGCTTGCGAGCATATCGTCGGAATCTTCTGGCTGGAATATCCAACGGGCCCGTATTGGACGGCTTGACAAAGCTTTTGTCCCAAATTGTAACCTATTACGGGTCTTTCGCATCGGATTTTATATGCAGCTGTACTTTCGAGTTCATCACTATGATCGTGTTTGAGTGTGAGGTAGGGGAGAAACTTCAATGTAGCCCACATGCCCCCAACTTCCCCAGCTATCTTCGCTCAAGAGCTGGGTTCGGGGGACCTTATGCCATGTATCTATTTCCCGAAAAACTTTTCCCTGAAGCGACGTTCCTGCAATGCTATATTCAGGCTATTCCTGACCTCCTTGAGGTGATCGCATTCATGAATGATGTCTTTTCATTCTACAAGGAATCGGTAGTCTCTACGGATCGAAACAACTATGTGCACAACTATGCTGCGATACATGGTGTCACTGTTTGCAAAGCTTTAGAAGACACAGCTGCTAGTCTGGCGGAATGTATTAGGAGACTGAGATTACTGTTTTCCTCAGAACCGGAAATGCTCAAAGTGCTCAACAGTTTTATTGAAGGGTATACTGCGACGAATTGGGTATACTTCGACGAATTGGTTACCTCGCTATCGTCTCTACGAATGCGATCTTCCCAAAGTGCTTGCACAGGATCAGAATATCCAAGGTTGAGATAGAATTGCTGATATTTAATGGTCCAGAGGAACCTCATATGGAGAAAGTTGCATGAATCCGTCTGGTAGGAATCCGTGTGGCACGAAAGCTGTTCGAGAGGTTCATGATTGTTATATCGGACGGGATTGGGTTTTGAGGTAGACTTGAAATACACAAAGGATATTTGTAAAGCTTCACAACTAGATTAACATGGGACTTGGCGATGACTATCGAATTTCAATTCTTTAGCATGTAAATTCTTGAATAATGTGGTGGGTGGTATGCCTGTGATCAAACCTACTTCAACTGGAGATCGTGTCGTAAAATTGATCATGCATATTTGAGGGTCAGCAGGACTCTTCACTACCGAGCCAAATGAGTTATGATATGGATAAATTACTATGATACAAATAGAATATTAGCAACATGCGTGGTACTACAACATGTTTCAGACCCATTCGCATATCGAACGTCATTACAACTCAATGCATATTGGTGACACAGTGGGAGAAAAGCTCCTGGGTCGCCTCTTTCAGTTTCCATATATGACTGCATCAGAAGGAGAGAAACACTCAAAGAGGACGCCATCTAGCTGAAAGTTTACTCTTTTATCACTAGCAAATCGACAATGGGTTCTATACCAACTTCCGATTTTGATACTATCATCTTCGACTTGGGGAACGTGCTGATCAAGATGCCTCCCCAAGCACCTGAGGCCACAGAGACAACTTCCATACTAACCCTCCGGCGCTTGTTCTCAACATATACTTGGATGCGTTACGAATGTGGTGAGCTTGGTGAAACGCAGTGCTGCGAGATGCTGGGAAAGAGATTTGGACTCTCACCATCTACAATCGCCAAAATCATCTCTGAAGCTCGAGATACTTTGAAATGCGACACAGCGGTTATTTCCTGGATTCGCGAATTGATGAATGAGACACATGGATCACTGAAATTTATTGCTGTATGAAGAATTCCTATTCCAGAGCATACCATCCTGCATAAACGATGGGGAGATGAACTATCCTCAATATTCGAAGAAATCTTCACATCTTCCACTATTGGAAGTTGTCAGCGGATCTAGGATTCTACCGACATATTCTCACAGCTACAAGAAGAGACCCCGGAAAAACAATTCTTATAGACAGTGACGTACGAAATCTAGTTACCGCGTGCTTATTGGGGATGCGGTCCATTCCCTACAAAACTCTACCTGTGCTTTCCAGAACAATGAAAAATATTCTCTACGATCCATTGATCCGGGGACATATGTTCCTGAATCGCAACGCGAAACACTTGCATCCTGAAACCGATTGCGGTACTGTACTCATGGAAAATTTTGTACAATTGCTCATTCTGGATGTTGCTAATGATGAGTATGCGCTCCGCAAAACTTGAATCCACAACTAAAGCGTGTGTTAATTACGTCGAGACAGGAATTTTATAGTATTACAGAAACCAGATTATATACACCAGACAACATGGAATTATTACATCGGTAGGTTATGGTTGTTTTCAAACTGCATAAACATACATTGATACACACTGTCAAAAAACTTGCTGAAGTATTCCAGAACAACCAAGTTTCACCAACATGAATCCGCCAAACGATCTAGAAACCACCTCTTTAGCACTGCAAATCATGCCACCTGACAACGATACCATCACTTCAATACTTGACAACATGCTAGAATATCTAAACCCCGATGGAATCCCATATGTGAAGCACCCGAAAAAGTTCCCAAAAAAGCGCTTGAAACAAAAACTAACCACTACATCCTGCAGGTATACTACAATCGCACGCGTCCGCGCATCGACCCCATTGTCTGTCTGAATATCCTCACCACCTTCTACAAGTACCAGCGGGGCGACCGACTCTCCCAAGCGCGCAACTGGATATGGAATATTCTTCTTCATCGCGCATACCTACACGGTACATATTACTACCGCAGCGCAGAATGGTTTTTCTTCTGAGTATATCGCTTGATCAAAGATGCCACCTACTATCCCAATATCCAAGAACAATTTACAGCACTTCTCCAACAGCGAGTCCGGGAACGGATGGGGATGCCTGGTGATGCGCTAGCGCTGGCAATGCGTCTGATGGTTTGTGGATTTGTGGATGTGCGGAATTATCAAGATATGCAGAGATTGAAGGAGTTGCAGTGTGAAGATGGGGGGTGGGAAAGAGGGTATTTGTATAGTATTCCAATCGTGGGGAAAGATGTGTTTGATCGGGGATCTACTACTGCGCTTGCTATGCAGGCTATCCGGGTAGAATGGCAACTAAATGACTTAAATTCCCCTTGAAGACAATCAAAATTGTAACAATCTCAAAAAAAGAAGAAACCCTCCCCATTATCCTTCCTCCACATCGTTTTTGGCAAAAATCATATAATGTTATGCATTAACAACGAGAACATTTACACTCACTCATTCAGGCGCTCGCTTAGCTCACGGGTTAAGTACAGGTATATCTCTCTCAACATAACAAGAACAGAAAACTAGTTCTACACATCTAATATACGATCTACAAAAATAGGTAACCTCGTATACCTCTCTCCGAAGATTCCTCAGCATCTTCCTCACCAAACTCCACAATCCCCCTATCTCTTCAACGTCTTCTGTTTCTCCGCATCCCTAACCAATTTCTCGCCCTCAACCCTCAATCCCTTTCTCTTCCTCACGCCATCCATATATTTCTTCGCCACATTTTCCTTATCCGCCAGTTCTCCCAAATCCTCCAAATCATCTTCCGTAAATGGTGTCCAGAATGGATCTTCATCTAATACCTCGTAGCCCTGGAAGATGAGTTGCGGACTAGCTGCTCCGGATGTTCTCTTGCGGATTTCATCCGAGAAACCAAAGGAGAGGGCTACGGGAAGAAGCGATACGATGGTGAAGAAGGGGGTACCCTCTTTGAGGGATTCGGAGAGGATGTGTCCGCGACGACGGGTGAGCACGTCGTAGACGCGACCGAGGACTTCGGCTGTTGCTTGTGTTAGTCTATCTGATTCACTTCCAAAGTATTAAATAATCTATGGTTTGTGGGAATAACTTACTACTAGCCTGGATCTCACAGGAGTACATTGCAAGCATGAGTCTTGGGGACCAATCCAAGAAACCTTGTTTGATAGCTTGTTGAACCGTTTTGATCACTTCACCAGTCAATCTACCAAAGTTATCACGAGCAGATGATTCCTCGTCAGTGGAAGGAGCAATTGTGACCTCCTCGAGGAAAACAGCGATACCTTGTATAGGTTCATTGCATAGAGGTCCTTGAGCAGTGGCAAGTTGGAAAGCATAACTAATCTTGTCAGAAAAGGAACGGGCTTGGAGAGCCTGGGTCTGAGTTGCTGATTCTTGAGAATCGGCAGTGGTGTCTTCACGGAGACTTTGAAATGTTAGTATACTCTTGATGATTGAGAGTTGATTTGACTTACAATTTTCCAAGAATTCCGTCTTCGGTGGAATCAATTAGAAGATTGGGCCCAGTTCTTCGTGGACCAAACGCAGTAATTTGATCCACTGCTGAAGCCCAAATATCCTTTTGACCTTTCACTCCTTCGAAAGTCTTCTGAAGTTCTTCCTTAAACTCATTCAACGACAAAACCTTCTCACCACCCAATAATTCATCAACCTCTTCCTGCTCGGCTGACTCTTGTGTAGAGTGATCACCAGTCTTCTTACTCTTTTCTTCTGCTTGACGATCGGAATAAAGCCTCTTAATGGCACCAGTATTTTTGCCCAGGAATTCAGTGACTTCAACTGGAAGAGGTCTTACACGTAACCTAATCGTGATTTGCTTCGATGTAGTTGACAATACAACAGTACCTCTTCCGAGCTCCTTGTCTGCCGGAGGTTTCATATCTTCAGCTTTAACAATAGTTTCTCGATATGGTACAATCGGCTCTCCTGCTTGAATATCGCACCCAGCAAATCTCTCACGTAGATCTGTCAAACAACGCTCTAAATGCAATTCTCCTGCTGTGAGTAGGACATGTTCACCGCTTGCGAATTGTTCGTACTCAGCACAAGGATCACTTTGAACGAGTAACTTAAGACCTCTAATCATCTTGTCGAGATCTCCAGGCCAAGCTGGCTCTAAAGCGACACGAACGATAGGCTGAGAGCCCATGTTAACTCCTGCGAGATTGACACTGCCCTCCAATTGACTGCAAAGGGTTCCGGATTTGAGGATATGACCTTCGAGACCACCAATACCAAATACAACACCTGCTGGGACGGAAGTAAGTGGCTCTAATCCACGACCCATCAATAAGTATAAAGCAGTGACTGTAACCTTTTGTGGTTCAGGACTGTTGTGTGGATTTGCGGGTGAGAACTTTGGCGGTAATACATAAACAGAATCCCCTACCGATAGAGTCCCTGAATAAATTCGTGCAAACCCTATCAGATGCTCTGGATCTGTTTTCTTCTCTTCTTCAGCGGGCTCTTCGAGGCTTACTGCTCCAAGCGCATCAGAGACTCCATCGACAGATGTTGAGGCTTCTTCCAAAGCCTGCTGTCTTGCAATCTCTGCTCGCTTTCGTCGACCCATCTCCAAAGCTTCCTCAGGACTCAGGGCACCTCCTCGTCGCTTATTCTCGGGTAGTTCGCTCTCCGGGATCGAAACCATTTTACTTACATAAGCCACAACTGGCTCCTCCTTTGAAGTCTTGAATTTAATCATTGCTTCCCTGACCTTAGGATCCACATGCGATGCACCAGGAGATTCATCGATAAGTGCAGGCAGTCTGCCTTCCTGGGCAACCGGAGGAGCGGGTAAAGATTCAATGACGGAAACTAACAAAGCGGTTGATAACGGTAACCACGCTGAGAACAATGTCGTAAGAATAGCTCGTGGATCGCGGGAACGTGTAACATGCGGAGGTAAAGTAATATTTAAAGACTTTGTAATTTTCTCTGTCATGGCAGGATCACTAAATGAAGTAGAGTTAGAATTGGTAATTTGATTGCATAATGTTGGATGTATAAAAACGTTAAAGGAGAGATAGAAATCCACGCACCCCTTTCCATTATCACCACCTGTTGTTGCTGCATAAACAGCCCATACCTGTTCCAAAACTAATTGGACAAACAATGGTTTTAAATTTCGTCCCTTGAGATGCTTTGGCCCAAGTACTTTTTTGGTCTTTGGATCCAGATAGAAATCTCCCCACAAGACTTTCTCCATTGCAGTTCTCTTGATTCCTAACTTCTTCTCGTATAAGCTGGCAAACTGTCTAACCGTGAATGCCCACCCATCAATGGCACTACTAAATATGACATTATTTTTCTCTGGCGCAAAGTAAATATCCTCATCGTCCTTTTCTTGAAATTCGTTGATAGCTTCGGTATCAATCGAGGTACTTCCATCATTTGCTGTCTTTTCTTGTTCTTTCGCAGCAGCAGCGGCAATTCTCTCGTCGACCTTTTCTCTCCAATTCAGATCTTCCTCCATTCTCTCACCTTGGAAAAAACTTCCGAGTACCGCATTGACTTGCTCCAACAATTTGCTCAAATGTGTATATGCTTCCGCTGGTGTCATCTTCAGTTCTGTAATGAGTCTGTCCATCTTATTGATTACCAATAGAGGCTTCATATGTTCTACCCATGTCTGCCTAAGAACAGTAACAGTCTGACTGCAAACTCCTTCTACAGCATCCACTAACACAACAGCTCCATCGCACAATCGCGAGGCAGTTGATACCTCACTGCTGAAATCGATGTGCCCTGGGGAATCTATCAAATTGATCAAATATTCCTTTTTCTCGGGTGTAGCATCTGGCGCATTTCGTCTCAGCATGGAAAAGTATAAGGAAATGGCAGAGGATTCCATAGTAATTCCGCGCGTCTGTTCATCTGGTCGAGAATCCAGGTATCGTATTTTACCTGCGAGTTTCGGAGAGATAATGCCATTGGTCGCAATCAAGGCATCTGAGAGGGAAGTTTTTCCATGATCCTAAAGATATTAGCAATGGTCAAAGAGATGTGTGAGCGGGATATGTACTTACAACATGTGCTAATATACATATCTTGAGAGGACGTTGTTAGCATTGGGAGTCTTAGCATAAAATCTACCCCGCCAAAGACCTACATTTCTGATATCTGGCGCATTTTGTTGCAGAGCAACTAGCTTTTCTGGATTAACGATCGGCATTCTGTGTATGTATGCAAATTATATGTGTTTGATATGAATGAAATGCGGAAGGCGAAATTTATATGCGCAAAGAGTATATCTATCGCCCGTCAAGTCTGCCTGTTTGGGGCGACTTTGTCTAGTGGATGGTTGCTGGAAGTGATATCTCTATATTTATCTGAGCTTTGAACGCTTTTCTAGTTGATATAGACTAAATATTTAATGCGCAAAAAAATGACTCATAATGATTCAATATGTTTAAATGAGAGAGATAGTGTGTGATATATTGCAAAATATTTGAACGTCGACCGTATGATAGAAAATGGATTATTTTCTGACGCGGCCGCTCTTCCGAGCTTTCATAACGTCACCGAACCCCGCCAAATCGCAAACGTTAACAATTATCACTTCATATGTTTGGGTAGATTATTTTGTGATTTTGTAACATTACTTGAGTATTTTTGGATACAATAATTGGCACACCACTCGGATACTAACACATAATTGGGAACACTTTATAGAACTCATAGATGTTACAGTTCGGAAATTGTAACTCACATGGCTCTTTATGCTTGAATCCGAAATAGCTTTCGACATCTGCAGCATCGATTTTCTACATTCAACATTCTCATGAAGTTTATCTTGGCCTTGTCACCGTTGGCCGTTATCTATGTGTCTCAGGAGAATTTCTGCCATTCTCACCGTTCACAAAAGAAATTGAGAACCAGTTGATATAACAACAAAAATAACAAGAATATATGAAGTAAAGGGGGATATATTGATCGTACCCGCAAAAATTAAGTATAACGTAGCTATGCTAGTAATAATGTTGTACTCATTATATAAACTTGGACTTCTGGACTTAAAGCTATTGCTTAAGTGTATCTACCGTAGGTATTGAAGCGCCAAAGAAGCGAAGAACACACGGTTACATGTACACTTGAAATGATCTAACATGGTATAATTCGGATGAACCTATATCTACGATGAGCGAGCGCGGCAACTTTCAGGGAGTATGCTAATATTACAATGAAGGGGCATCTCGCTAAGCCCCTATACACTTTGAGCGATGGCTAGACGAAGAATAATGGTGAAACTGGCTTCTACCTTCTACCTTTAATATCGATACTGTTATTGTGATGAAGAAGAATTTGAGAAGTGTTGAAGGAGTGTCAGTGGCTGTCCACATGAATATCAATATGTTAGGCCCACCAGTGGATGTATCGACTGACGGGATATTATAAAATATTAACTTATAGATATCTTTTAATACCTTGATTTACATACATTAGGAATTTTTATAATTGATCATTAGAAATAGAACAACAAAAACGCGAAATTTGATATCACATAATTGAAGCATGACCTTGTTGAAAAAAAATTGAAAACTAGGAAGTGTCCTATGAATCTATAACCCGACTGGTGACCTCAAAGATCTCAGTGAAAGTCTCATTTCAGATTGTTTCATCGAGAATAATGAATCAAAAAATCAATTTAAAGATTCCTTGATGTGGTATATATCAGGATTTACTTGAATTGCTTACATTTTGTGATTTTAGAATCTTGAAAGAAATGTAACGTCCACGACGATGGTCTCAATTGTGAAGTAGAGCACATAGTGCAAAGCAATTAATAATAACTAATAGTCTAGTTTATTCTCGGTGTTTTTCTGAGAGAGAGAAAATATCATTGAGTAGACCATTTCGTAATTTCATGCTTGGATCTCGAATGAAATCGTATACCATATTCGAAAACCGCTACTTAGTTAGATATATTGTAGATACACTCTGTAAAACTCATTCATATCCCAATTCTGTTCTGCAAATCATATGGTCCTTCAGGCTTGAATCCAAGATACCGTTCAACATCCCATTTCAGATTTGCTCATCATAGTTCATCGAATCCGAATGCATTTCTATATCCGGAATCAGATTTGACTATCAAATAACTCTTCAAGGTTATGAATTAGAAGTGTTGTAGCATTGTTTTACACATCATACGAGAAAACGAAAATCGCCTATGGGCCGATCCCTAAGTATACATACTCGAGTACTTGATGCTAATAAGTACCAGCGTCGCACAAATGCAACTTCACATTCAACTATCTCATAAAGTTTCCCTTGGTCTTGTCTTCATTGGCCAATCATCTATATGTCTTTCAGAAGGATTTCGATCATTCTTACCGCGAATAGAAAAGAGTAACAACCTATTGATACATCAGCAAGAAAGATAAAGTAAATATAGAGCAAAAAGAGATGTATTGACTATACTAGCTAGTATTCAATCCAAAATAGGTATACTAGTAATGTTATCATGCTTTTCGTATCAATCTAGACTTCTGGACTTGAAACTATTGTTCAAGCGTGCCTACCCTTGAGATAATCTAACATGATATATTTCTGGAGAACTGATATCCGTAGTGAGTGCGACAGGTAGAAGAGATTATAGGGGTATTGCGATGAAGGGGTGTTTCTCTAAGCGATTACACATTTCGAGCAATGATTAGAATGACGATGTGAACTGTTTGTAACTTCCACTTATATCCTATTTTGACCAAGAGGAAGACTATGAAAAGTGCCGTAGAGACGTTAGCGGCCACCTTCGTGAAAATCAAATTGGCAAAAACATGTAGAATGCTGAATCAAGATGGTCCACTTGGAAATAAATGTTTAGACAAAGTGCCACGATTTCATAATGTGCTGGTTCTTTCAAATTAGCTAACATGCAATCACCATTCATACTGTTAATTATCAATTCCGTATCACGTTCAAGAATCCAAAATGCAATCCTTCATCCCCTCAGAATCTCGCTTAGCACTTTCCCAGGCTGTCGACTTAGCCATCGCCGCGACTTCCCAGAGTTGAAAGAAGAAGACTAGCAGTGGCCGTCATTACCGTTAGAGCTTTCACCGTGTATCCTTCTTTCCTGCAGATGTTAAATATTGACTATATTAGAGTAGAAAATTGCCCACTTTCTTTGTTTTTTTCCATTTCCTTTTCATCAACTCATCTCAATACTGATTTCTTCTCTATACATACTTTTCTTCCTCCTTGAGGAAAGGTGTCATATCCATGCATTGTCCAAAACTCAGCTCGTGTAGCCAAGAATTCAAAGATTCCAATATTTGATGCGTATGACCTTGGGATTGAAGCATGTATGTATGATATGATGGTAGAATCTTTTAAGAAGTGCAATGAACATGAGGATGCATATGGTGGTGCAGAAAGTCAGGACACGTGATGCATGGCCACTAGCGATGACTAGCAGTCTAGTTCGCTCTTTTAGTGTTTTTCTGAGAGATATAAAATCCCCACGCAACCCCGAAGGAAATCCCCAAGGCTACCCATACAGTCAATGTATACATATCTATCTGTGTTGCTACAGGGTGAAAAAAAAGCAACACAGTTTCCACAGTCGTAACAGGGTTTATCTATCTATCATGATATCCTTCTCAAGAAGCAGAAAGTTTTCATGAAGGATAATCTAGGATCAGAATTCATTCGAAGTACCGCTCTCGAGATGAAATTCTGAGATCATATCCATCAATGTCAAAGTCGTAATTATATTATCGATGATGATATACTCTGAGACATGGAAACAAATTCGAATGCCGGCAGTACTCAAGGGTGGAACAAATTACTGTAACAAGCATTGATAGTGGACACTCACTCTGAAGTTTTGAACCGACAACAAATCAAATTCAGAAAAGGGGGATGGGGGGTAAGAAACGAAGGTGGAACCATCAAGGAAACTTTTACGATCAAGCTTTACTAACTATGCTAACTATATGCGACTTTAGCAGACGTCGAAAAAGCTCCGAGTACATTTTATCTTGGGAGGTAAGATGTTGAGGCTACTGATTGGTTTTTTTCTAATTTTATCCAGATTCTTATTGCGATGAAACATCTTTTGATTAGCTATATATAGGTATATTCAAGGGATGGAAATCATGGGTACTAGGTAGGTAGGTAGGTAGATCCAATTATCATCTACTCGAGGATGTATCATTCATTGTATTCAAATTCGCTCTCCTGCCTATCATTTCAGCCATCTAACCAAGTTCAACTCAAATGATTCGAAACCAGTTTGGTGTTCATCAGATGAATGATCAGATATCAAGGCCAAACCGCCCTTGTAACGGTTAAAGCAATGTTTGGGAGATCTTCACCCAATCAATCCTTTAAATTAAAGAATGTTCCATAATTAATTCCTACACTGTAGATTTACCCCCATCATAATCCTTGATGGATTTGGTTTCACCATCATAGGTTCCTAGGTGAATGATCGAAAAAAGGTCCAGATGTCAATGACCAGACTCGCCAGACCAGTTAATAATAATAATACTAATAATAATCACAATAATACTATAAAACTATAAAACTACCAACCAACAAGAAAAGAAAGGAGTTGTTGTGTGAATGGATTTTGTTCTTTGTGTAAATAAATAGGAGAATAAACAATAAAAGTAGATTCTAAATTATATTACTCTGTACATTCATTACATTCATTACATTACACTCCGTCCCTTACCTACATTCACATTACCTTGTTGCCTCGAATGATGCAGTCTATTTTAACCTCATCTTCATCATATCTTAGAGAGCGGTGACGATCTTTTCACATTATTACATATCAACAACCAGATAGCCAGACGAAACCACATCACAAACATCATCCACCCTTCCAAACCAAAAATCGAGGTGGCTGAACAGAGCCGAAACTTCAATCCTAAAACTCTAGACCAGAGCATTTTCTCAAGATTCCACTAGGAATTGGGTCTTTTTCCTAAAAAAACTAGCTTGAGCACTTGTTTCTACAACATTTACAATAATAATAAACGACAGACCCGAACTACTTAATATCAAACTCCGAGCATAACCTCTTTACCACAACGAATTGAAACTCTTCGAATCATAACCCTATCATCAAATCGCATAATCAATTATTTACAACAGTATACATGCCTGGAATCATCATGGCGGAAGTCCAGCAACCGTCTCTGCAACAAAGCCAACCACGAGCAATCCCTGGACAGGACACTGCTTTGCAGATATCACCCCCAGCTTCCACAACATTACCGCAATCTGCCTCGACAAATCGCATTCGAAATTCGCATCTCGCTTTAGATACCTTTTCTCCTGTGAACCAGAATGGAAGCTTTGAGTGTGATCGTGTATTGAAGAGTGGTTATTTGCAGAAACGAACGAGGAAAACAAAGGTATGATTTCATCGACTAGATTTATATTTACATTTACTCATCTACTTTCCGCAGGCATGGAAACCCGTATTCCTCGTCCTGAGACCAAATTACCTCTCAATCTACAAAGACCAAAATGAAGATAAACTTCGTCATAAGATTCACCTCTCCGATTTAACAGCCGTCGCCTTTCTCAAAGATCCCAAACAAAAGCGGCGCAATGTCTTCGGTCTCTTTACTCCCGCTCGCAACTATCATCTGGAAGCCACCACCAAAGGCGACGCCGAACAATGGGTCGATCTCATCCGCAAAGAAGCACGAATCGACGAAGAAGAAGAGGAAGAAATGTTACTCGCCAGTCCCTCCGGTAACGTAAATAGTACCTATCCGGGCTTCGATCAAAGCATGGCGCACGAGCAACTCCAACGAAGAACCGAAGCCCAAATTCTGCACGACGAAAGACTAGGAAGTAGTTCCCCGGAACCCACAGAATCCATCATCCCCCGCGCAAACAAGAAACAAAACATGTCGGCCATGGGAGGAGGAAGACGTCCCTCCAACACGATTGAATATTCCGGCAACGAACTTGTCTCCGACGCCGAATTCTCAGATACAGATCTCGCGCGTGTCCCCGGAATGTCGACGCTTTCTCTGACTCTGCACAATCCTCCTCCAAACCCGAATCCCAATCCCGATCTCGAAGTTAAACCTCCCACGACCACTCTCCCCCTCGGCCGCAACACATCACAGTTATCCCTCTCGCACCCGAATCCCCTCCCCGAACACGATCCCGAACGTGTAGTGTACCAAGGATATCTTCTGTATCTGCGCTCGAAAAATGGGATTCGTTCTTGGAAAAATCTCTGGGTTGTGCTTCGTCCGCGCTCATTATCTTTCTACAAAAACGACTCGGAATACTCGCCCGTCATGATTCTATCCATGGAAAATGTAATTAATGTTGTGGAAATCGATCCGCTGAGTAGGACGAAACGATATTGTTTTCAAGTAATTGGTGAGGAGAAAAGTTTTAAATTCTGTGCGGGAAGCGAAGGGGCGTTGGTTAATGTCTTGGGAGCGTGTAAGAGTTTGTTGGCGAGGAGGAAGGGTGGCGTAGGTGCTTGAGTTGCGAGATGAGAGATCATTCATCCCCTTATACGGGATGAAATGAATCGAGAAGAGAAGAACATTAGATAAGATAAGAAAAGGATTCCTATTATCCAGCGTTAGGAATTGTACATAAGCTGGTAGATTTGAGCGAACGTGCTTGCGAGCGGGAATCGGAGTGGGAGTATGGATACAGGCAATGCATGCAGAGGAAGAGTGTGATCAAGGCGTTGGGCAGCGGAAATGGGAGCGCGGATTGGGAATGGGATGAAAGTTCAGAAAGTCCCGGACTGATATAATAACGACACGAAACGAAACTTATGATGAGATGTAAATGTTAATCGGAACTCAATATGCATATTTATTTTTGTACATTTTGGTTGTTTGTTTGTGGTTTTGTGTGTGTGTGTGTAGTTTTGATTTTGATTTTGGTACGAGGGTAGAAAGGAAAGGAAAGGAAAGGAAAGGAGAAAAGAAATAGGCGAGTATGTATGGTGAAAAGAGAGGGGAGAAGGAGATAGACGAGGAGAGGAGAAGAAAAGAGGAGGGAGGGAGAGAATGGGTAATTAGAAAGAAGGCGAGAAAGAGAACGGGTAGACGGGATAGATTCATGTCATATATGTCACCCATTAAATATCAAATATCAAATATCAAATCCCAACCCAAACAAACAATAAACAATACAAGCATATCCATCTCCAAGTGTTCCTTGACAAAGTTTCTTTTATTGTAGCTATCTAATAGACACGATAATATCTATCAATCTATCTCCCCTGGTATTGAGCTAGCCAGTCGTAGAAGTTTGAAACTAGGTACTTGTTAGGTAGGTACTGAAATCTAAAGGTGTATGTAGACCTGTGATATGTACATATTCATGCCAAACACCACTTCTACTTGCACTATATCGATTGTGATGATATCTCGGATCTCGAGAAATCTGAAATCCTTCCTGCAACATTCTTTTCTATACCCCTTCTATACACCCCATCATTATAACCCTGTGCGAGTTTCATTTAAATTCTTCGTGCTATCGTTCTTGTAACATTTTCCTTCGTATCATGTCGTATAAAATTCTTCTTGTAGTGTAAGGATCCAGTCCCTTATATTATACTCCATACAAGTCTCTGTACCGTTAATCGTTGTCGTAATCTATTGCATACAGCAAGCCCAATTGCATAACAGAAATCCAATACGCTTTTCGATGGTGCAATTGCAATTCAGTGCAACAAAGCCATGCCATAGTCAATCGTCTTTCGTTCTATGCGTATTCGTATTAACCGTACTGTAGCAACCCTAAATCAAAATTCCTATTTTCGTTATCTATCCAGCCACATTACCACTTCCACCATCATCTCCCCGAATTTACTTCTTTAGATCTTGATTTAATATTGTGTAATCAAAACATCTGGAACATGTAAGCCAACACCCTCCTCCATAACCGCAACTCCATCCTCTACCTCCAATGGTTCCGCGCCGAAGAAGTGACCATCGGACTCGGTTGCTTCCATCAAAGTGGGTGTGGTAGGTGTAGCTAGAAGTGAGACTTCGGATGGATTTTGTGGAGGAAGGGGAATGAGTACTGCATGATTTTGAACGATGTTTGGACCCATTGTTCTGAATGGATTGGTATTGTTGCTTGAGTGGCTGGCAGGGGCTAATCTCCCAATGTAAGGGAAAGGATAAGAGCTGGATTCATCAGATGTTGAAGTACCGTCGGAAGAAGAGGACGGAAATGATCCGGTGGTAGAGGAAGGGGGTTCGGAGAAAAAATCAGATCGATGGTAAGGCCTAGGAACTTGAGATACTGAAGTACAGGAATTCGTTGGAGAAGGTGAAGAGTTGGTGTTCATGTTGTTAGAGTTGAATATGGCAGTCGATCGATCAGTCAAGACACCAAGACCGAGATCAGTTGCTCGTCGTTGAGATCGCAAGTTTCGGGATCGTGGTCTATTTGGTTCCTGTATCGAGTTAATATTTGTTCTTTGTGTCTCATACGTTTAACTGTTCGAAAGGAAGACATACAGCAGGAACTGGAGTTGGTCTCAATCCCAGATTTTTAACGACCTCAACATTGCCCACTGGTCTAAACTTTTGCAAATTGAACCCAAATCCAGTGGTGGCGGTGCAAGGTAAGTCATCATCTGCAATGGCATTGAGACTAAGATAGCTGCGGTCAAGGAGTGTGGGTCGGCAAGTATGACAGCATTTGAATTGACACTCTGTACCTCTTGATGGCAACCACGGGCGTGGATTAGTAATTCTCAAATTTGGGACTGTTTGAGAGGTGGTTGGAGATGGGCGGGAGAAAGGATTGAACAAAAATCGTGGGATATTACTGGAAGAGTTCGATGGTGTAAGATCAGGCTCCTCATACTCGGCAAGTACATCATGAAGCTGATTATGATTGTTAGAAAGCTTTTCGAAGAATGAGAGGATGTTGAGGACTTACATGACTACGTTGTTGGAGGATTGTCTGGATTTGCGAGGGTGAATATGTTTTGAGATCTTTGCTGCTGATTTCATCGAGGAAACTGAATCTTGATCTACGTGCCTTTGGCCCACGTGGTCGAGGAGAAGTTGGTCTTGGGAAAATGTCACAAAGATCATCGAGTTTCTCTTGACTCTTCAACAATATCAATCAATAATCCTAAACACAGAAGGTGATTTTTCGGTGAAGACTTACTGCGTGTCCATGATCCATATCATCCTCTAACATAAGTTCACGATCCTGAGTACATCTCCAAACCCATCCAAATGAACCTTCTCGAAAACAGATCCCACATCGAAACTCTTTTGTGAAGAGTCGTGTAGTAGTCAAATGTGTGCATTGTACATTTCTTGTAACTTGTGCAGTGCGCCTGGTACTTTCTGCCAAAGCAGGCAAAGAATGTCGATTTGTATTGGTAGGCATTGCAGTAGTCATTGAGGATATGATACTGGCTGTAGATGCTGATGTACGTCGTACTGGTAACTTCGAGGTTCGTGTTGTAGTATTTGTTGTCGATTTGGTTGCTGCCATGATTGTATTGGGAGGATCAAGAAGCTCCAACAAACACTTGGAAAGGTTTAAATTGAAATGAGAGGACGATTCACTATCAGACCTTGGAAACTTTGGAAATTGAAGTTGTTTGGTTGAATGAACTTCTGAGAGTGGAAATAAAGAAATCAGATTCGAGGTTGATCAAATGAATTTATTGATAAGTACGTCCAGCTAGTTGTAAAAGTATTTTCTTGTGAATTCACCAAATCAAGACAAATTTCGACTCGCTTCGAGAATAAAATTATGTGTATTTGCCCAAATTTTCTTGAAGAAATTATAACCAATGGGCACACAGACAAGAAGATACCAAAAATGAAAGGTAAAAAGTGAATTATAATTGTAACAGTGTATTTCCATGTGAAAATTGGATTGAGATGAAACCATCCATCCATATCATTACTATTATTGGATGTCGAGGTGGCTCTGTTCAGCTCGTTGAAGTTTGAAAAAGGAAAGTGTCGCATTGAAAAAATGTCATATTTGATAATTTTTACACTCATAACTAGCTGGCTGTGTGGGAGACAATCGTTCCTACCATTCTCGTAAAAGGTGCAAGAAATTTTCAAAGTGGTCTGATCAAAACATCAATCAATTTGAAAATTGGTCTTGATGATTTTCATCCTACCTAGGTAGGTAGGTGGTAAGAGGAAGAGGAAGAGGAAGAGGAAGAGATGGAAATAAATTGCCACGCTTTCTACCCTTTGTCCTCTCTCTTCTTTTCTCTCATCCAACCTCAACAGGTACCTAGTACTTACTCGAGGCAGGTACTTGGGTACTTGGTACACTTTCCCTGTTCAATTCCAGCATTCAATCCCACTCGAAAATCACCATTGATACTCCTCAAGTATACATCTGATGCGATCATGAAGAGAGAAGTTTCTGGAATACCGTATCTCAGGGCTCTGCTGAGTGCAGGGTTTCTCTGTATATTTGCTCTTCAGGTTCTTGCAACATGCAAGCTGAACCCGATCTTCTTTTGGAATGAAAGCTGGAACAATGCTACTTGAACCAGCTCTGAATTTCTATGCAGCTTTGACATATGCCCTCGAAGAGTGTGCTTAGGAAGTGCTTTTGCAAGTTGCAATTATTCTTACAACCTAAGCATGTTCGAGTTTCACCCTTGAAGATTTTATGAAAATTCAGATTTATGCTTCATAGTGCAACGCAGAATTCAAGGAACGGTGGAAAGATCTGGACGAGTGTCAAGAAGCATACAGAGGCAAATTGCCATCTTTCAAGGATAAAAACTCGAGCATACGGTACTGTATCTCACAACACGTAATCATACATGATGACAGGACGAATACACTGGATGGATCAATGTATGATTCCGTTAGCATGAAGCTATCATGGTTTATGGGTTTTGGAGTGCTTTATCATTTCCAACTTACAGAAATTTCAACTGTGATGTCTTAAAACTTGGACAATTTTTTTCATCCAAGTCCCACACATGTCTCTCATTTGATCATCCCATCATTCATAAAATTCTAGACTTCATGAGCGAGTATGCTTTTATATGGAGATGTACCAATGAATTTTTTTGAGCTTGAGCTGGCCAATGCACGAACCTGGGGTAGATCTATGTGAGTAGATATCAATTGGGAGCGGAATGATCGTTATTTGTCCATTTCGAGAGTGGGAGTGGGAGTGGGTGGAGAAGAGAAGAGAGAGGAGCAACGATGATAGGAAGCAACAGTGGAGAGAGAGGAGAAGGGGATATGCTGTATGAGGTGATGAGAGCTGATGGATGATGTGGGATGAGTGAAATGATATGATATGATATGATATGAATCAAATCTGAATACCTAGCGAGGAGTAGCGACACTCTAACATAACGTTATATATGGAGACGGAAAACGACAACTAATTAAAAGAAAGCACAATGCGAGAATGGCTTACCCTGACGGAGGATGTATCTCTCTTAGCACGAGGCACGTCCTTGGAAATCTCGTACCTTGAATACCCTTAAATACCTTCTGAGTGTACCTCGGACCGTCTACTCAAAACATGAATGACCCTTCGTATCTTTAATATTAATTCTCATCCCAGCGAAGGACAATGCGGGCGGCAAAAGGCTTTTAACTTTTCATTTTCTCATCAAACATTATTATAATTTATGATTCCTAATTCGATATCATATCCATATCCGCATCCACATCCGTCTTCATTATTGGGGTTTTAAGGTATTAAATAGGTTGTGTTGGTGTTTGAATGGTGTTGGAAGTGAGGTCGATCCGAATTTCGAATAGAAACCGACACCGAAGAGAGAGAAGAAGAAGCATCATCATCGTCATTATCATCATTACCATTATCATTATCATTATCATCATCATCATCATTATCATTATCATTATCATCATCATTATCATCATCATCATCATCATCATCATCATCATCGTCATCATCATCATCACTCATTCATTCATCCACCTCGACCCTTATTAATCAACGCTTTATTACGTTCTCTTATCTCGACTTGACAACGGTACTCCATCTTTGTTTCTTTATATCTTAAATCTTGTATCTTGTATCTTGCACCTTGCATACTCTCTATTCGGTGAGAATTAGATGACTTTTTCACGCCAGCCCAAATCCTTGTTAACCCGCTAAATAATTTAGATCAATCTCCGCACTTCCCATCCTACCCTATCCCATCCTATCCTATCCTATCCTATCCTATCCTGTTCCCGTCCCATCCCAATCAAATTGCAATTCAGATTCAGATTCGGATTCAAATTCAAATTCAAAATTCAAATTCAAATTCAAATTCAACTCATACCTAGGTAGGTGCTACCTATTGATTCTTGCCAATTTCATCAGGATTCACACTTACTTGAGGTCACCTAGTATTACCTCCTTCGTACTAGGTATTATTTCCTGCTTCAAACTCAAATCGAGTCAATAATAATATTCCATCACAATCATAATACATATATGATATTACATATCTACCTGCCAACCGACCAACCACACCATCCATCCTTCCTACCACCTCACCTACCTACCTACCCTACACCCTGCTGATATCCGACCCGAAAAAGCATTTTCTTGACCTGGAAAGCTACCTAGCTACTTTTTTCCTGCCACCAAAAAATCCCTCCTCTCTCCTCTTTCTCGCCCAAGCCCAGCCTCCAACGACTAAATCCTTTTGGGTCAACAAATCTCAATTGGTTGTGCAAGAGAATAAACATCGTGTCAACAAATTTTACATCAATTTCTTGTACATCAATAATAAATAATATCCCCCCGACAAAAAGGTCAGTTCACTTTAATCCACACCCCGCATTATTTCCCAAACAATAGGTGCAGAGAGATATTTAGAGAACTTTGTTAAATCATATCTATCCATCTATCCATCCTCTTGCGCAATTAGTCCTGAAGAGAAGAAGAGGGGCCTGTCTGCGCCTCGATCCAGAACTCTTAACTGTTACCTTAGCTCACCTCGGCTCCGCATCATAAACAACGAGCGTGAGAGAGTGTATGTGTGTGTGTGAGAGAGAGAGAGAGCTTGTTTCTTCTTCTCCTCATTTCCTCAACTTCCCGATATTACCGTCTTGATCAAACAAGTCGCATTCACGAATGTTCACGAACTCTCATACTAATTAATTGTTCAATTAAATAGCTTCCGAGGGTTTGAATGACCTCTCACCCATCACAATGTCGGTCAAATTCGAGAAAGATACCATAAAAACCACCGGTCCTCTTGCGGGAATACAAGGCGTTCCAGCGATCGATGTGAAAGAAGTTCATCATCATCACCATCTACCAGGCCATAACTTAAGACACAATGTTGGTGTCGCATTAACTGGAGGCAAAGCCAATGAAGGAACACGAGGATATTTATCTGTGAGCCATTGATCTTGGGCAACCACCCATCGCGCAATCAAATTGTTCTGTCACTAATCATGTTATCTTTCAATAGATGTATCTCAAAGAGCTCCAAACCAATCCTCTTCGTACGAAAATGCTTACCTCTGGCACATTATCGGCTCTACAAGAACTTTTGGCCTCATGGATCGCGAAGGATCGTAATAAGGATGGCCACTATTTCACATCTAGAGTACCCAAAATGGCTGCATATGGTGCTTTCATCAGTGCTCCACTCGGCCATGTATTGATCAGTATTTTGCAAAAGATATTTGCTGGACGTACCAGTTTGAAGGCCAAGGTTCTTCAAATTCTTTTAAGCAATTTAGTTGTAGGTTGAGCTCGTTTGTTCACTATGTAAACAAAGCTAACGATTGATTAATAAAGGTTGCTCCAATTCAAAATACAGTGTATTTGATCTCAATGGCACTCATTGCAGGCGCAAAGACTATTCATCAAGTCCATGCGACTTGGAGAGCTGGATTCATGCCAGTTATGAGAGTCAGCTGGATTACTTCTCCTCTCGCTCTAGCTTTCGCACAAAAATTCCTTCCCGAGCATACTTGGGTTCCATTCTTCAACGTCATCGCTTTCACTATCGGAACCTATGTGAATGCGACCACAAAGAAGAAGCGTCTCGCAGCTCTTCGCAAGAGACACTACGATGAGACTAGAGGAGGAAGACCCGACGACTACCCTGGACCACATAGTGGACCAGGAAGAGAAATGGGAGGACCAGGACAGAAACGCGACTACTAATTTTACGAAGGGACGAAGGGGAAGGGGGTCATTAAGATGAAATAGCACAGCATGAACCAAATTCGGCTGTGCTTATTGTCACAAATTTTTCCTTATCATAATGTATTTTCGGTTCACGGATCTCAATTTGGCACGAGGTCAGATTTACTGGTTATGGGTGGCGACCGCTTGCAGATATCCTTGTGGTCCATGCGAGGCCTTGCTTGCTTCTTTCTCGGGGGGCACAATACCACGTAAAAAGCCTCACCCTCACCTGTTGTATAGTTTTTACGATTTCATTGGTTATAAGTAGAAATGAATGGGCGTTTGCTTGTCAATCTCTTCCATCTGAATGTGAATGCTAGGTAATACTTGGGTGGATTGGGGAAAGCAATCTGCCGAAGGCAACTTGTTATTTAACACGTCGCCTTTGTGGGATACGATTGCTACATGACATGAAGACGGAAAGGTAAGTCATATTCTTGTCATTTGTCGTTAACACCCAAACACAACATATGATTAAAAAACGAGTGTTCTACGATATTATTGAGGGGCAAAGCTATGGAGGGGAAAAGGATAAGGATAAAGTCGAAGCGGTTTTCTATATCTCAATTTTTTGGTACATACGCTACTTCTTGCATCATTTTAGTTTACACCTTTGAACGAATACATTGGAGTTTGCTTGAACTTTTAACAAACGCACGCTTTGTTCTTCGCCACTCTTTTACTCTTTACGACTCTCATTCTATACACTACCCGCCCAATACTTACTACTCACTGCTCACTACTCTTGGCTCGCTTCACTCACAAAGCTCGCAAGCCAGCCCACCCAGTTTCAACACAACTTTGGGCAATGTCAGCATTGATACCTTTATCCCCATACGTTCCCCCACGAGCACGCGTCCTCTCGCCATCTGATCGATATCCTGGTGGCGCCCGGGGAAACGTCCATCACGGACCTCTTCTGCGCAATTCTTTCGATAATGGCTATAATACCCTTGGAGGGGGTGCTATGATACCCGTCCCTGTGTTTGGTGCTCGGGCCGAACATGGAGCACTTGCTCGCGGAGGTGGCGCTGGAAGAAATTACAACGACATGAATATGAATTTGAACATGGTCATGCCGATGAGGAGAGGGAGTGTGGATATTTCCTACCATGGGATTCCACACACACATGGCCATCCGCTAATGGATCCGCGCATGCGACATGCCCCGCAGGTACAAGTTGTAGATCCGTCGGCTATGTTTAGGGATCCGTGGAGTGGCGGGGTGGTAGGGGGGTGTACGCAGGAACCTTATACATGTCCTTGCCACGAATGCGAAATCTTACGTTTGCCGCTTGCACCGTTGGCTGTGGGTTGTCATCATGATAATCGTGGACATTCTCATGCGATGGATTTGCATAATCATTGTTGCTCCGGGGGTGGAGGACACAAGGAATCTGCGTCATCTTCTTCCGGTGGTGGGAGTAAAGAAAAATCTAATTCAGGAGGTGGAGGTGGAGGTAGTGGAGGAAGTAACAAGAAAGAATACGGATTTCCAACAAAAGATATCGTTATTCGCGGCAAAACATATTCGTGTCGCAAATCCTTTCTAGCCGACCAAGGAAAATTCGAAGATTCCCTTGTCAAAATGATGGAGAAGAAAAAGGAAGATGAAATTCCCAACACCGTTCTCGATTCCCTATTCTCCTGCATCAATGAAGAAAAAATTCTCTCTTCCGCCTCGGCCCACGATCTCGTTACACTCAACGTTCTCTCTTCATCTCTGGGGATCAAGAGCGTGATGGAGAAATCGCTCGCGCAGTTAAAGAAACAATGTTCGGATAATATCGTGAGTGGGAGTACGCTGACGGGGATTGTGGTGACGATCATGATGAGCGCGAAGGTGGATGATGGGTTGCGGGAGTGGTTGAAGAAGTATATTAAAGGATGGGGTTTGTGGGAGGAGTTGCAGGGGTTTGCCATGTACATTCGGTGTGTGGAGGATCATCCGGAGATTCATACGGGGTTGTTGGAGTTGCTGGGGTTGAGGAGGAAGGCGGATGGGGAGGGGTATAGGATTATTTAGGTATTTAGGGGGAGGGAGGGGTGAGCGGGGTGGGATGGGTCGGCTTGTTAAGGAAATGGTTTATTGGCGGAGTGGAAGAGTGCAATGATGAGGAGGAGAGAGGAGGAGAGGAGGATAGGAGGAGAGGAGGAGAAAAATCTTCAAGTGATTGTCAAACAGAACAGGACACGACAGACTGAAAAAACGGGTGATTCCACTTCTACTTTATTATCAGGGCAAATCAAAACAATGAACCAAAATGCAGAAAGACGGAGGGTAAGAATATGATATTCTATACGCAGTCGGTAAGTCAAATACGTAGTTAGTATAGCATAGCATAGTATCGTATAGTATGGTTGATAGTGTTTTAATTGTATGCTAGTACCTAGTCTGTTATGTTTTGTTTATGTTATGACATATCGTGTTCAGATCTTTATACTTGTATGAGGTGGTTCTCTGATATTTGGCTTTTGTTTTTGTTGCTGTTGCTGTTGCTGTTGCTGTTTCTGTTGCTGTTGTGAGAATCTATCTACTACGGAGTAGGTTTGTTATTTTTGATTCTTGATGTTATGATGGGTTTCAGGTCCTCTGTACTAAGAAGATTACCTAGGTTCGTGGTGCGTGTTTTTTGGTGTTGCTGTTATTTTTATTGTTGCTATTACTGTTGCTACTACTATTACTATTGCTAGGTAGGTTTATGTGTTGGGATTGAATGCTATTGGGACTGACAACTACTTGGACTTCTATTGGGATGGGATGGGTAGATGTTATCGGGATCCTGTTTCTTCAAATATATCCTTCCCACCTCTCACTTCATTTTTATAACTACTATCTAGGCAGAGAGGTACGGAGGTAGGCATCATCACGTATATCCCCGCCCTCGAGTTCCACAACTCAAAAAATCAAAGTCAAAGTCCAAGATTTCAAATAGAGATATCTATACTAATTAGTAAGTAAGTAATGAGGTGAGTAACACATACCATACCAACGGGATCTCGCATCTGTTCATCCATCTATCCATCCACATCTCATCTCATCACATCACATCACAAACCCAAGACGGAGACGGAGACGGAGACGGAGATGAAGACGGGATACCCACCGCTATTGCGATTTAATTCTTTTTTTTTGTTTATTCGAGAAATGGAATCCAATCGCAAATTACGAGACGCTTTTATTATTGCAGTGCTCGCTGAAGATGCTCCATATCCCTTTTCGTGAAAAGAAAATTTTCGAGCGATATTGGGTCACTGCATGAATACACATACCTAAGTATGCATATATCTAGGTAAGTACTTCCTACCAATCATTCTTCTTCCTACGAACTTGTTCCTATGAACTTATTCCTAGTATCACACAGCATGTGTTTGTGTTGAATATTATATACATGTATATATATAGATAGATATCTGAGATCTCGAGAGTAACTCATTGTCAAATGTACTTGTATTGTAACTTACATATAAGCGAGCTTGCTACTGTATGAAGCTTTTTTTGTTTTTGTTTTTGTTTTTGTTTTTATGTTTATGTTTCTTTCCATTGAGAAGGCATTTGGAAGGAATGATTAGATATAAATATATAGATAGATAGATAGTCAGATAGATAGATGAATATATTTTCGAAGTTCAATCTCGCATAGCATGGTACTGGATGGGATAGTAGATACACAAAATACAACACGATATAATACCACACCATCATCCCAATACCATACGATACGACACGATACGATACAACAAGCATCATATACATAGCCACAAGTCACAAGGCTCTCTCTCTCCTATCGTCACACGCACTGCCAACACACATTTTTCTGCTACATACCTAGATACTTGGAAGTGTTGTTTGTGTGATGCTCTTTGCTGTTTGCTGTGCTGTGGAGTATTGGGTGGTATTTGTATTTGTATTTGTATTTTTATTTTTATTGGAAATGGAAATGGAAATGGAAGTGGAAATGCAATGGCTGATATTGGGTTGTTTTGTTTGCTACAACTATAAATGTGCTGCGGTGGAAATATGCAGGTCGCCTTTTTATACTGATTTTGCTTGCTTGTTTGTTTTCTTTCTTTTTTTCTTTGGATATCTACACCTATCAAAAATATACCTATTCATATACCTATATCGATATCTATTCATGTATCCATAAAAACAACGTCTTGGAAGCAACAGCTATAGTGAGATAATGAAGCGGTGGTGAAGGAGCATAACATGATATGATATGATGTCATTGTAAGATTATGTACCAATGAGAGAGAGCGAGGACTACCAGAAATGTAGCGTGGGAAGGTGCAGAGTGGAGGATGGTAATGTGAGGGAGGGAGTTTGTTGGGGGTAGATGATGGTTGGGGGATTGGAGATGATGTTTGTTTGTTGTGTGTGTTGGAAGTTCGTTAGGGGCGTTGGTGGGTATGCTTTGTGTGTGGTATATCTTATGCTCATGGAGGTTTGTAGTTTGTGATGGATGGGGATATTTGTATACATACTACCTACATAGTACATTGGATGTAAGTAAGCACTTGTTTTCCAAATTATCCTCTTCGTCCTCGTTCCTCCTTTTGGCATTGCCATGGCTATATTCTTTAATTATTCTTCCAATTTGACCATCATCCTATTCTACTCTTCCTACACCCTCCCCCACAACTTCACTATGCAGTATTTCTCCACAAATATCTCAAGCTCGTTCCTCCTGCCACAGTTCCCAATAAACCAACCCAGAATTCCGTCACCAAACCACCCTCCAAACTCCAATGCACCGTCAAAGGTGCATAAGCCAAATTAACAATTAAGCTCTTCCTCCACCTCTCCATCCACTCTCTATGTTCCTTCTCTTTCTCTCCCTTCATCTCCGCCATCTCCTTATCTCTTCTTCCATACTCGATGCCCAACTTCACAATATCAAGTCCCACGTGTACCATCCAACATCTCACACTCCAGATCCCCGCTTTCGCCTGCTTAGTTTTATCCCATGGAAGTATATTTTTGGAACTGAGATATGCGCCGTTTTCCAAAACTTGGTAGCAGAGATTCGCAAGTACTTGGATCTGTACAATCTTTCTAATTAATGTATCCTCGGGCGGACTGTTCCACGTTGCTTTTGCCCATTTATAAATTGCGAGAAGTCCCCAAAGACGCCCAAATGTCCTGAAATCGGATATCAATGCACTCAGTGCCTTGAATCGAGTCGCTAATAACAACAATCGAGAACTGGGTACGGGAATAGTAGAAGGTGAGAGCACGATGGTAGTATTAGGAGGAAGCGCAATGGCTTTTTCGATCAGAAGACGAGCGGCTTGGCGGATTTGATGGAGGGAGAGACGGGAAAGGAGGTTGGAGGTTAGGAGGGAACTGTAGCCGATTGTGCAGAGGAGAACATCGGTTCCGGAGGGGGTACTCAAAAGTTTGGAGAGGTGAGTGAGCACGCTGTCGGTTTTGGAGAGGTATAGAGGGAGCCAGCTTTGCAGTGCTTGCGGTGTGGGAATCTGTGGGGGAGATGGTGTGGGGATGGGGAGAGGGAGAGCAGATGCGGGGGAGGTTTCGGCGGGTGGTATCCCGCTGATTTCGGACATGCTGGTTGTTGTAGATATAGATGTATAGACTTGGGTATATGAAAAAGATGTATATGCTAGTTTGGAAAGATGTAAGAAGAGAGACGAAAAATAAAGGTAATTCCAGTTTTTGTTTACTTGGATAGATGGATACCTATGAACATGGATAAGGTGCAAGGTCGGGTGTAGATGTTACGCGATAATACCGAGGTTCGGAGCTGCAGCTTGCTAGCGTTTAGCTTATCTCCAGGGTAAAGTTCGGCTCTTATTTTGATTTCGTAACTCCAAAGGAAAGATGAGCAGTTGTTATTTATTAGATGTCCACACTGTAAATGAAAAGATGGGAACAGTATATTATTACGTATGTTGACTATAGTAAATGATATCGAACAAGGCACAATTTATTCATTAATGGTAGGTTGGAAACTCTGGTCTGTTTCAAGTCCTATTTGAGCAATTCAAGATCTCTAATTACCCTCTCACTTCATCTGGGAAGGGTCAACCACGAATCAGTAGCGAGACTCATTTCGCGAAGCTATGCTATGTATCTCCAAATGATTCACTATGAAGGTGTCACTCCACGAGAGAGGAAGCTATACCACGTTTCAAGAAAGCATCTTGCAAAGTCACACACAATCAAGTCAAACTCCAAATAGATTCAACGCTTTGCATTACTTTTCAAAATGCCTAATCGCAATAAAGAACGCCCAAATTCAAAGATCCAGACTTTAGTCCGCAAGGTCTTTACAATTACCATCGAACATACGATCGTATGCAAAGCTTCCTAAGCGGAAAGTCTATCTATACGGAAGACCAATATAACAACTATTCCAAGGTAGACTCATCTGAGCCGCAAAAGCATCGCCAGCAATGCTGTTTCAAATCTCCACGTATTGACTCCTCCAAGTTCTTCCATTAATTATCTGTCAGATTCAAAGATTCCACAAAAAGAAAAATCGAACGACATTGGCTAGTAGCCAAGAATCTCCAAAAATCATATACGCAAACAACAACCATGCGCTCATATCTATACACCTCCCAATGCCGCAGCTGAATTCAATCTTGCCAATTCGGCCTGCAACTCCTCTAAAGGTCTACCCAAACCCCATTCCCGCATCGCTAAATTGGGTCTCAAGACCATTCGAAAGAATCTTTGATGTTGCACACATTTATGGTCCCATTTCTCGGCCTTGACGTCATAACCAACTCCAGCTGCAAACCACTGCAGTAAACTGACTTCCGGCCAGTCAGATGTTAGGTTTGTGGGGCAGACAAAATATCGATGAGATTCAGTTTTGCCGTAGTCTTGACGGGAAGTTATATGAATCACGTATGTTGGGGGAGGATTGGTAACGAGTGGATTGTTAATCAAGTTGGACGGAGAAAGGACTCGTTGAGGAACGAAAGGTTCTGGTTCTGTTTGTGTCCAATATGGTACGTGGGCAGTTCTGAAATCATCGAAGGAAATGTCGGCGAAAGGTTTGAAAGGAGTTGAATACTGAGTTGGTCCCAAATCTCTAGTGAGAGCCAGGGATTGGTGCGACTCCGACATCTCAGTGGCTGTCGAAGACTGGAATGACCCATACGTTCCATTAAGATCTGGAGAGAGTGTTGGCTCAAATGCCCAAGGAGAATTTGGAGATGTTCCACGGCGGTATGTTGCAAGAGGAGTGGGAGACTGCGTAAGAGGTTGCATGGCTTGCATTGTCGCACGGGATCTCCACTCAGGAATTTTTGAGTCAATGATGCTTGATCCGAGATTAGGAATGCCCGACGGTGGGGGAGCATTGGGTTTGTTTCTCAGCAATTCCACGAAACATTGTCCAATCCCGGAAGAAAAAGATGACATATTAGAGTTGGGCTTTGAAGATGGTTGTGAAGGTGGTGGCGTCATCAGGTGGGTTTCAAATGCTGCATTGCTATTCGAGAAGGAGCGGAAGGCTGTGCAATTCTGAGTTAAGATTGGTCTGGCCGGTGTGATGCAGGGAGAGATTGGGGGAGACGAGGGTAATCTGAATGCACTATTCAATGCTAATGGAGGGGTAGGAGACTTCGTGGAGGCTAATGAAGCAGGCGGAGCTAGGTTAGCCGGTTTGTGATCAGGATTGTAACTTCGTATCATATCCGATAGCGTCATCGAGATAAATTCTGATTCCTCTCGGTCCGGGATGATTGCTGCACAAATTTGAGCGGCCTGACGTTGACGTTCAGCATCTTCACGAGCTCGGACCATTTCAAGATGATCTTTGGTTGCCGATAATCGGGCTGCAAAATTGAGGAATGACTGGTAGATGGTTTTGTGAAAGTGCTTGTTAGGATCATGATAAGGTTTGTCGGAGTGTCTAGTGTCGACTTCCGTGCAACAGTCGCAGCAGAAGATGTTGTCAGGGAGTGACATTGTTTCTGAACCGTGAGTCATGATTTGGTGTCACAAAATGTGCTGTTTCGCACAAGATATCAAATGTGTGATATGTAGGAGGGAGTGAGATATAAAGATAAAGGTATGAAAGGTAATTCAGTGTGTTGTTTGTTGATATTGAGAAGTATTATTGAAAGCAAGTTGCTTGGGAGTTAACGTTGTTCGAGGTCTTGGTGGTGTAAGGAAGTTGGAGGTTGCATGGACTTTCAAGCCATCTGAAGTCCTTCTTATAGAGACCGAGGTGTGAGTACGGCTTTGATACGGTGGCTCGTGAATCAGTACTTTTGGAGGTGTGGAAAGCAGATGAGCGGACTGCGCCACAGCATTCACTGTTGTCGGGTGGAGATGCGGTCATCATTTAATAGGGGAATGACCTGGGTTTGCGGGGCGAAACAGAAATTCATTTCCTTCGTCTGTGATTCACGCTTATACAAGGAGGAACAGAAAAGAAAGTTTGGTCAGAAATAGATAAGATGATGAGGGGCAGTTGCCCTATATGTGAATGATAGAACGATTGTCTTTCACGACAACAGGGTGAAACGGTTTCGCATTTTCCGGTGAGCTTGATTTATCAATGTTTGCGTACATGACAACATTTCTATGACTCTTTCTAATCGATAGTCACGCGCCTTATAATCCGATCTCGGATAGTTGTATCAATCTGCATTCACCAGCCAACTTGCAACTTGATATTTTTCTGAATGTTCACTGTTGGCCTTCGCACGTTTCCACGTATATAGGGGGAGGGGGCGCCAATCTTTCTTTTGTGCAAGTGTGAATGGTTTTAGAGTTGATGGGAGCAACGTACACATACTTTGCGGGATTCTTGTAGTGCTCTTCTCTCTATTCTGTAAAGCATGATGTAAGTAAGGATGTAAAAACCCGCATTTCAGAAAATATCATTCTTATCTTTCCTCGATTGAATCTCCTGATTACACACCAAGTACACACCCATATTCTTTTAGAATACAACAAACAATAAGAGACGATAAAGACAAGACGATAAATAACACCTGTTCATCTTCCGGCACTCCATTCATAGCTATGATAATGACTTCCTGGCCCTCTACCCGTTCCGCTCCATGTACATAGCTAAAGGTCAAGCGATAGATACATAGATACCCACCCCCTTATCATCAAGCGAGAACGTTCATTTATTACCCCACTTCTTTACATCCGTGGTATCTATTGAGATCCTATTGATCAACGCGTTCTCGTGTTGTGAAATGTGTATACAGATATGTTTTTGTTATTGTCTACACTCTCGAAGATAGATTCGGGGACTAGGGATCTTTCCGTGTACCGGGAAAGATTGGTAAAGATGGATAATGAAGAGGCTCGTTTGTCTGTCTACATCTGTGATTGGGAAGGAATGTGAGGTCTGAAATCTGTTTTGCATGGTTAGAAATTAGGCAGTCATATGGGTGCTGATAATTAGACGTAGTTAGGTATGTGGGTAGTAAGTATTCGCTGTTGCTATGGAGAGTTTCTTTGGAGGGGGGTATTGGGTGATTAGGCATCTCTTTAATATTTGAAGATTAATACATCAGAGACATAAGGCTTAGGGCAATGAGGAGCATGTTGACGAAAAGCAAACTTTAGAAAGCACTGTTGGTATTTAGTAAATTAAATCTCGAAGCAATTAATCAATTAATCAATTAATCAAGGGGTCAATAAGTCAAATTGAACAAACTGTGCTCGCCAATGAATTAAAACAGACGATCCGATCGCATTTCCAAGAATTTGCTATAAATGGTGATTACAAAATAACTAAACAATCCTTGTCCCCGTAAACACATACTGAAACAACAAAAACGCGTTCTCGAAGTTCTTCTTATCCCATTTCGTTAGGGATGTGTTTGCTTGGATGGTCCAAGTCAAACTCGTATCACTGCAAGTAGACGAAGACTTTACATAATAGTCTCCTATTTTACTTACAACCCAAGTCCTATCACCCTTCGAACTTGCGATGTCAAGTTTATCGCGCAGTTCTTCGCTGTGAGTTATGAAAGTGATGTTTTTAACCTCCAGGGCATTCTGTCTTCGAGACCAATAAGGAAGTTTCTTTTTCAAATCTCCAAGTTTCATACTTGGCGCATCTGAGCCGGTCGTCTGGGAAGCTAATTGATCACCAAAGCTCTTCCAATCATCCGCAAACTCGTTTTTGAGATCGAAAATCGCCGAAAACCCTTGTTGTTGCCCTTCCGCTCCCGTAGCTTTCATCACTTGGAGTGTAGCTTGGTTAGCTGCTGCGCGTAGTGACGGACCTCCTTCATAAGCTGTATATTGTATGTGTAACAGCACGTCGGTGATAGATTCGTAGCTGAAAGTCCTAACCGGTGATGGAAGTTCCAGTCGCCATTTTGAGATAACGCCTGCACCCTCGAAAGGCATGTATTGAGAAGCAGAAAAATCGAGTTCAAAAACTCCGGAGTCTACATCACCGGAGCTAACTGCAATAGAGGACGTTGGAATTCGATCTGTTCGAAATGATTCACTACTTGCAGATTGAGAGGCAACATAGTCGGCTGCACTCTGGGTAACGCGGTATTTATGCGATAGCAGTGTCAAGATAGCATTGGCATTGCAATTAGCTTCGAAAACCGCAGGAATCGACACAGCCACTGATCGTATTCTACGCATATAGTGGCCGGGGAAGTCCATATCGAAAATCAGCTCGTCTAATGAGAAATCGCAAGATCCCGTGATTCTGAAATTCATCAGTGCCATAGGATCAATTTCTTTCAGGGATACAGTTTTTGTGATATTATAGTCCGCTGAAGTATTTCCCGCTTGTGCAGCCTCAAGCTTTTTCAAATCCCAAAATAGATCCTGCGCGGCAAGCAATCCATCACGTGAGGAATCCCAATAACCGGCTGGTTTGATGATTGAGCTTTTGCAACCAGCTTCGAATGAGAAGGCGCTTTGTGCCCGAAGAGCTGCATCGAGAACCAGATTATACGCCTGAAGATACAAATTCCTAAGTCTCTTTTCCATCCAGCTGTAGAGTTGCTCGTTAGTGTATTTGGAACGATACCATGTCTCAGCCTGAACAGCTTCGTCTAGTTGGGATTTCTGCATATCGAGCTCTTTCTGAATGGATTTGATCTGTATCTGCTGTATCTCAATTTGTTTATCGATGGATTTGATCTGGCGCCCACTAATATTTGCTTGGAATCGACGATCTTGCAATTGTGCTGTAAGACTGGCCTTCTTGTCGGCTTGGTCGGCTTGGCTGGCATCGAGCCCAGCAAATCCTCTCAATAGCGCGGAACCGGCTGCCACAAACTCTGCATACTGAGTACCGCCAGCTGAGATACTAGTTCCAACCCCGAGAGGCTCAAAGTCCCCTTGTATTGTTGGCAATAAGTACAATGGAAGAGCCACTGCGTCTGTGACTGTAGCTAGGCTGTTCTTTGAGTATGCGGATAGAGACATTGTCATTTGTAATTTTTCGTAAGGAGACATTCGCAATTCATCTGATGACTGTACATCAATATTTTGTGGGACATCAGTCCAATCGTCGCTAGATCTGGGAATTTTGGTATCTGGTTCACCAATGAGTTTGAGATAGTAATCTAATTGTGCTTCTTGAGAGCTGCGATCCATCAAAAGCGATTCAATCGTCTTTTGCGCTCCGTCAAGTTCGATTTGCTTCATTTCCAACATTCCTTGCTGTATGCCAGTGTTGTTTCGAGCCATGATGACATTAAGACTCTCTGCATCTTTCTTTTCTATTGCTGCCAAGAGACTTTCTCCCAGTGAACGTACTTCGGTACACAAGTCCAAAGCTACGCTCATGAGACTTGCAAAGCGTTGATTAGTTAGTGGACCATCTCTTTGGCCGGAAATCATGCTCAGCACATCAGATATGCTGAGACCTTGCTTGCTGAGAGCCACCAAGTCTCCACTAGAACATTGGGAAGTCAGTAATTACTAAATATGGATATACTTGAGAGGAAAATAAAAAGTTCTTTGTAGATATAGAATTCGAGAACATGTAGAAGAAGAAAAATGAGACGAGAATTGAGACAAGGGAGTATAAAATGAGAGTCCGGGGAATGCTTACGGATCGATTGGTGGATCTCTCAGCGCGTAGATCACCGACTTTCCTTGAATATCGAAGGAATTTCGAATGTTAAAAAGACGTTCCTGCACTAGGCTCCGCATTGTCTTGAATTTAGGATTCAAGGGAATTGAAAAATAATCTGTCTTCAGGACGCAAGTAATGTTCTCCATTTTTGGATCAGTGCTTGAGACTGTAGCGTTTCCTTTCGGTACTATGTTGAATGAGAACGGCAGGCCTAGATCCAGTGAGACTTCATCGAATGCATTATCCTTTGTCCTTAGTTGTGCATACGTCAGCACCTTTGATTTTCGATTCCCAAGATCTGGCAAATTAGGTGGCTCAGGCCCCAGTACTCTAGCTGCCTCTATGTATCGTTGAGTGGCCAACGGAAGACATTCGGATGTGCCTCGTCGGAATTGTATATCTCCAAGGGCAATGAGAATCTCAGCATATTTCATGACAATCCATTTCATATATGGAACAGGCCGACCACGCGCGGCAGCATGCACTAGCGCACCGTATGAACGTCTCTCTTTAATTGCAAGCTCGATCTCCTTCTTCAGGTTCGCCAAATCTAGAGGATCGAACGAGCTTTCGCCTTTATTCGACATCATGCAAGCCATATCTTGGAATGGTGGAAATTTCCAACAGGATTGAGTGCTTATTGTCTTGTCGCCATTAGATCTGTCTACTTTCACGGATACTGATGGATCAAAGACAAGTCTTGCGATTTGCAGTGCTTCATCATATTGTTGTGTAGTGGACAGCCGATCAACTGCCAGATACACAGCGTGTATGCCAATCTCCCAATTATAGATAGCAGTTGGACGGCCCAGTTCGTGATACGATGCGTTTTGGCTGCCAGCCCCATAACGTTCTTTTAGCTGGTCTGCAGGTGTCAGAGCTAGGTTATTATAAAGATTTCCTAGTGGATCGACACGGTCGGTTGTATGTTCCATGAGCTCATGAGAAAATGAATGATCCAGCTGTACAAGCTCCATATCGTCTATGACTCTTTGAGTAGTCCATTGGCGTCCATCCGTCGGGGTGAGTTCTGTTCTTGGCATATTAAAGCGGCTTAGACTCATACCATCGCTATCTATGGTGCTTACTACAAGGGCTGTGACACGTTGCTGTGTTTTCGACAGAGTCCAAGTGAGGTCCTTTTGATCGTAGGGCTTTAAATCATTGGGTATCCAGATCAGAGGCTTGTTTGGGAAGGAGGGATCAATTTCCAGAGCAGTTGAATTGATACCTCTGCCTAGCACCTTCTGGAAGTAAGTTGGAAAGTCGCCATGGACAGATGTTCTTGAGTCACTGTTTATTGTACTGATCTGATCGTTGAAGAATATGAAGCTGCCAATTTCGTTGAAGTCAGTATCTCCTATTGCCGAATAGTTTATCTTCATTGTCATCTTGTTATCATCAAAACTTGGTTCAACTCGGAATTGTGATGCAGAAGCTACCAAGCCCACAGTAAGAGTTCCTGCCGATACACGTTTGGGTGCCCAACTGCCTCTGATAAGTTCAGTCCAAGCCATTGAGATTTCCCATACACGTTCAGAGGCCGCTATATCAGGCGGTTTCCCGCGTAAATCGTCGAAAGTGGTGATACCTTGAAGATTGTTCCCTATATTGGTAGCCAAAGACTTCGCCATGATTGATGGCATAAAAAGATAAAGTCGACCTCCAATTATCTCGGGGAGCAGATAGCTGCCAATGTTCTCGAGGCGATGTCCTTCCCATTCTGTTTCAATCGACGGAATATCCATCTCAATCTTGGCCCACGGCTGCCAGAATATCTCACTAGTTGCCAAGATACTCACAGTGCGATAATAAAACGAATATGGCGCGGTACGAGTCCGCCCAAAAAAGTGGAATATATCAGCCTGCTTAAATTCGGGTTCGTGGACATATGCAACAATGTCAAGCTTCGAGATTTCATTCAACCCATACACATAGTTTTGAATAGCGTGCAAAAACGTATCGATACTCAGATCCTTCTGAAGCAGCGCAGCTTCAAATTGATCAAATAACTGGCTCTTATCATCTCGAAGCATTGGATCAATCCAATTTTCGGGATAGAGAAACAGCTTTCTGTTAGCTTCCCAGAGGGTGTATTGCTGCATCCAATCCCATTTGTCGCGTCGTAAATCTGTCATCGCGACGTCCTCTTCGAGCCCTAGCAAACAACGTTGTGTATATAACTGCACAACTGAGATTGCTTGTTTGATGCGTGATGTTCGCAATTGTGGACCAATTTGCACATCAACAAGGAAGTATTCGAAGAGTCCATCTGCATCCCAGATATTGAGATCTTTGATGTAGTCTTGTTGCAATAGGTAATTCACAAGGGCAGCACGCTGGGTCTGCATGAGTCCATCTTCAAAGTTTTCCTGTTGTGTGGCGGTCAATCTGTTCTGAAGGTCATGTGCAGCTTGAACGTAAGAGTCTGCATTATCTAGCTGTTGCGCAGGCCTAGCTAGATCGAAGAGTTCGGCCATTGGAGGCATGGAGTTGATGTCAGATACACCGCCAAGGCTGCCATAGAACAACACAATTGCGTTTAAGCCCAAGAAGTTATCGTAATTACGTAACGTTGCCATCAGATTTGCTGCAGTACAGTTTGGATATTTTTCGTTCAAGGCGCTTTCTACAAGCGTATTATTCCAGCCTGTACTTGCCGCAATTTTCGTTATAATACTGCTTACATCAGTATCAGTCGAGCTAGACAACCAGGAAAATAGGCTCATCAGATTATCGTCTTTGGTGCTAGGGATACAAGTATCCCTCAAGACGCAATACTCTTGGAGCTGGACAAGATCTTTTAGACTCGGTGAATTAAGGTCGATAGCCAGCATTTCGAATTTTAGTTGTACTTGAAGGTTGAAAAAAGCGATCTCTGTCGTAGTCAGCTTCAGAGTTTGGCAAATAAGTGCTGCCTTGCGAATTGCTTCAAGAACACTCGTTGTTCGCTGAACTGTCGCCGATAATAATAGCTCTTCGTCGGTAAAAGGCGTCGGCATTGACCTGCGTGTTGACCAAGACACTTGAGAAGAATCAAAATCGGCTTGTAAGAGGTATGCTTGACCAGAAATCATGCGAAACTGGCTCCATGCGTTTGCAGATGCATCGAAGGGCATCTGAAGTCCGTTAATGGTTATCTCAGGGTTAGTACTGGTTCCCGTGTAATGTATCGTGTAATCATCAGTGGTTGTAGGTGTGAAATATGCGTCCAGATTCGTTTCAATCGAGCTTTCGACGGGCACGCTAAGACTCTGTAGAGCAGTCATAGCGGATTCGAACTCACTGCCGTTCTTGGTTGGAACTTTAACGACATCCGAAATAAGACTTGATATAATCGAAACATCAACGTCGAGTATCTGGTCTTTGGTAGAGTTGAGAATGAGAGAAGTGAGGAGATCTTGGATAATGATCGGCTTAGCCAAGTCAATAAAAGCTGCTCTTCTATTTCGAAGATAGTTTTCTGCGGCAATAGAAGATGCATCTGGAGAAGAAGATTCAGAAGATTGAGACAGTGGCTCCTCCCAATCATCTAGAAGAATGTTGCTCTGTAGCTTCTCGCTGGAGTCGGGATTGTTCTCAAAACGTGATACGATAATGTTCTGTGGAAACAGCGAAGTCGCCACCAAAGTAGCAAGTGCAGTTTTGATTGCGGGAGATTCTTCACTTCCATCCAAGATCTTCGCCTTTTCACTTGAAGTCAATATGCCACAGAGCTTTATTTGGGCAGAATATATCGCTCCCTCAATAGAAGGAATAATCGAAATCTTGTTTGGCCAGCCCTTTACTAGGCTAACGAGTGAGTCAAGGGCCGCCTTGTCAGAAAGTTTGATATAGCTTGTCAGAATTTGAGTGCCTAGTAAAATTTCAGTAACTTAAAGTTCCTAATGGTCTGGTCTGAAGTATTTCAAATACTTCAATTAGATTTGACCTTTGGAATTACACGGATTGTCAAGTGCAATTCCGTTATTTCGAATATCTGGAATCTTAAATGAGGTTATAGAATTCACTCACCCTCAATGAATCCTACAATTGTACTTGCTGTTGCTGTATCAAATGTTCGCCCAGCACAATCGACAACAGTTTCTGAAGTTGGCATGTCAACTGTAGAAATAGATGAAAGTGACTTTTTCAGATCCACGGTCCCTTCTAAAATAGCTCTGGTGAGTTGTAGCCCGGAGCTATCCTGGACATCTTCAAGCTGGGTAGTCTCGAAAACATCGAGAAGTGATTCTATTGTCCAGTTTGAATTCAACAGCTTTTTCCACATTTCTAACACTTCAAATGTGACTTCGGGGCTTGACAAAGGATTCTCCTTCGCTTCGTTGAAAAATAGTTTGAAAAATTGAGCACATCTTGTTGCAGGAACAGACAAAATCTGAGAAACAGTAGTATAGCGGTAAAGTTTTGACAGAGTGCCGACAGTCAAATGAGAATCAGAATAACCTGTAGCTTCAAGCAGATCTTTAAGATATTGAAATGGCCATTTTAGACTCGCGCATACACTTGTACCGCATGCGTAAATTTTGAACTTTGAGCCGCCTGGTTCGAAGAATTCTTCGCCGTCTTTTGGGATTGCGAAAACTTGCCCTAGAGAAGCACGGAGAAATTTGCGGTAAAGAAACGAATCTTTACCAAAGGCATCGATAGGGCCCCATAAAGGAAGTAGAGCAGCGGGTTCAATTCCACATAGATTGTTCAACTTGATAATAGACGCAATTCCATTGAGAACGTAAACTGAGATGGGTCGTGTGTTGGGAGCGGTAGTTACTTTGAAATCCGGAGAGAGCTCCATCTCGTTATTACGTAAGCAGTAAATTGCTGCATCAAGATCCCTCGTCGACCATCCAAGCTTAGCCTTCAGGCGTAAAAACGACTGAAGGTCTCGGCATATAGTAGTGTTCAGGCTTTGAAAGGGCGGTTCTGACGCATTGGCTAAAAGTCTGAGGTCATCGATGAAAGTACTGAACTCTTTCGATCCGGTTTTGTTGATGATCACTAGGTCTTTTCCGAACAGCTGAGTCTTGACTAAGTCTAGGATGTCGGGAAAATCTAGCCCTGATCTTTTCATTAGCTGTTGCTTGATGTACGTTAGGCCAAGTCCACTCGTGGACTCTAACATTGTATCTTCATCCTCATAGCCCCATTGAGTGGCAGTATCGCCTTCCGGTGGCCCTGTGGCCCTGTGGCTATGGGTATGATATCACTTGCCAATCCTTCGAGCCAAGCGGCAAACCAGGTAGGGAAGAAAGTTTCACCCGTGATGGCAGCAAACTCTTTTTGGTGTAAATCCAGAATTGATGCCGCAATTTGTCTCTTCAGCACCTCGGCCGATCCACGAAGCAGCCCAGTTCTCTGCTCTTCGGAGAGCCTCCCACGCGCGACCTGTGTTATGTTCTCGAAGAGAAGCTCGGCCGCTTGGAACACCTCGACCAGTTGAGTATAAGATATCTGGAATATGTTGAAATATTCTTTAACAGATGACCACGCATAATCGTATGGGAAACAGGTGAACGGGTACATCTGCTGGGAGACGACTTTGGAATAAACTTCAAAGTCTGTGTTTCCGGGCCGATAGACTGGTCTGTCAGAGTGAACATCTTGTACGCAATCATCTGCGGCATCTGCAGGTGTATTAAAGACAAGTATAGAATCTTGCTCGTCGGAAGCCGGTGCAGACAGCAAAGATTGACTTTTGTAGCGAATGTATGATTCGAGTACTTCATTAACAAGATTTATGTTAGGAATCAAAGTTTGTGCGTTTGCACAACTGAGCTCTAATTTTTTAAGATCTGGGCGCCGAGCTGAAAGCAACTCTAGGAGACTGCTATTTGTTTCTGAATCTGAAACGGCAGTTGTATCTTTGGTTGTTGCTCCGGCTCGACCTGTAGGTACAGTGTTGCTTAACAAGTTCAAGAGATCTGCGAAATACGCAGACATAGAAGTTATGGAGCAACATTCCTCGCATGCAATATTTTCGAGACGAAATATATCCGTCAAGTTGTTCCAAGATTCTGGAGGACCGCTAAGGCTTGCTAAGGGCTGAATTGGCTTTACGGTATCTTCCGTTGAATCTCCGTCATCGTCCACCGGCTGAGGCTGGGGTATCATACTATCAGCCACTTCTGCCTTACCTGCCTTCATCAGCGCCAGCCAAAGTTGCTCATTCCAGCAGTCAACACGCTCAGCGCAATCGTGAATCTTTAGAGCGCTCGCGGTCGATGAGCCTGCGCTTTTCAGATCAGACTTGAAATCATTCTTCGGCTTGCCTGTGATGCTTCGTATGGAATGATACTTTGAGTCGTAAAGACGAGGAGTATCCAATGGGTCTTCAACGAGATACGAGAGAGTCTTTACAGATCTGACAAACGTAGAAGCGGAGGTGATCTCTTTGTCGGTCAACGGGGTTTCATCCCGCGGAAAATACTCCTTCAACATGCTGATCAGCTCAGCAGAACCAAGTTGAGCTTGACGCTTAACCATCAATTCTAAAATGAGTACTGCAATGGTACGTGGGCGATCTTCGAGGGTAAAGTCGCCATTGTCTCTGATCATAACAAGTATAATGACGAGTGGCTGATCAGCAAGAAACCTGGCCCGCACTTGATTCACATCATTGGCAGTCAAATCATCTGGGATTGTGTCGGATTTTGAGGCTATCAACTTATCAAGTTTGTCTTGCGGAAAAAGTACTTTCGCAAGATCCTCCGGAGTAGCGTCTGGTAGTATTGTCAAGAATGCGCCACAAATCTCCTCATCGTCGTCGGTATAGACCAACAATGTCTTAATAAAGGTAAGGTATACGATAGCATTACATGAGACAGTCCACTTTCCGAGAAAGGCATCAATCGCCCCCTGGGATCTCCAGGCTGATTGATGTCTGCATCGGTCAACTTCTGCGTAAGATCATCGCTAAGGATATCCTTGCCAACGACTTCGATATAACTCGGCGACATGATTGATTTTATGAGCAGAATTCAGTATAGGAAAGTGATTCAATGAGAAGTTTGTTGCTCAAGACCCTATATCGATGTGGCTAAAGGCGTTTCTTTTAAGAAGCTGAGAACTGAATTTTCCCGAGTTTACTGAGACTACATCAAGGTCTTCCTTCCAAGCTTCGACGAAGATTGGGAAGAACAGTACGACTTGTAACGTGTCAATCAATACATTAGTGATGCCGTTGATCAAAATCCAGCCAGTGTCTAGGTTTTGCGGCAATCCAGCCACCACATATCTCCACATATATCTACCATCCGTGAGTAAAACTTTTTCAAATTCACTCTGCTTGTAATACATGTATCAGGTTCCGCGCCTGCGAGCCTTGTATCCCGTGATATTTCACATTGTAGTTCAAGTCACATACATGTGGCAATACGTGCATGAGAAATCCCGATGATATTGCCGTAATCGGGGAGCCTCGATTGGCATTTGAGAGAATGTGGTTGAATTGAAGTGCAAGCTTATGATCGTGACTTGCAGTTACAAAGTGGAGTAGAGGGCTTTTACTTGCAGACATATGTTGTCGCCGTGGTGATAGGGGCCTAGGGTTGCGCCTACATAAAAAGACTCGCCATGCAGCTCTACGAATTGTAGCAATCCGAACTAATAATACATCATTCACAATATACCTGCAGCAACTTTGAGACGTAAATTAGTGCCTTGGGTTTACAACCCCCATATTTCCATTCAATTGAGCTAGATTACCTTCACTCTGCATTTTCGTGTTTTTGCTTTGTTCGTCATTATGCATCTGAATACAACAACACTTCCAGTCTGGTACCAGATATCTACATGTACAACCTGAAGGCAGAGTTCATTCCATTGGATCAAATTCGACTCTTTTCTTTATCAGATATCGATGTTGTGCACGACAAGGTAACCTTTCATTTGTATGTGTTGAATTTCTGGTTCGGATATCCTTTCTCGAGATACATTCCTAACCTTGGACAGATGTGAATGTAAGATAGTATTCAATCTATATAGCAGCCCGATCATATTTTTTGTCAAATATTGTTTTCCGATTGACTGTCCATTATCTCCAGTGTCACTGTTCTCTGCAAAGCCAACCAATTCTGTCAAGCTGAAGAAAAATAAGTATCTGTAAAACCTGTTTGCGGGAACTATACTGTAGGACATAAGTGAGGGGAAATATGACTAGTGTTACACTTTGTGTTTCTCGAAGCCTAACTTCAATTGATATCTCGTAGCGTTTATGTTGTTGATTCTAATACATGCCCATTCATGTAGTGTTTGTATCTGTACTTGTACTTGTGCCCACGATCAACAACACACAAGCAATGGTTACTACTCGTACTTGTACTCACGTTAATAACACACCAGCAGTGGTTATTTTCAAGAAAAAAAAGTATTTTATATCCTCATCATCTAGTTTAACTATTCATTTGTTCCCTATGTGCCACTTGAGTCTTCGACAACCTCTCTTTATTCTACAGAATGTCTGGAACGTTTAATCCCAGATATTTGTCTCTTGGTGGCTTTAACAATGTATGTGCCATATCAGAGAAGGCTATCAACTCTGCCTTGGAAAGTGTTTTCGCGAAGCGGCCATCTTCAGCAGGCGAACTGCTTTGGGAAAATTAACAAGCGTCAGATGGCCAATTAAGATCAACAATGCTGGCACCCCAAATTGAGCTTGATGTGGAAACTGTGAATAGTCTCAATTTCAAGCTGGCACTTCGGTAAATATAGCCTCTTCGCTCAATGAGGAAAAAATTTGTATTGATTTCATTGTCATGACAGATTTGATAAAGGCCAAATTTATTTTGGCCAGAACACTTATCAAAGAATTGATGGTTGGGTCGTCATTTTCAACCTCGTCTGGCCCAAAGAAGCCACCCTCAATGGGACGAGAGATCAGGCTGCCGAGCTCGAAAACACACCTGAGACCGTGAATTCTACACAATCCAGTACCATTGGTCTCAGTCCAGGGGAATACTCTATTCATGGGCTGTTAGCCATCATTGCCTGTTCGTTGGCCGATACATTTGTTCAAGGAGAGCTAATCATCTATTTGCAGATCTTGATTGGGGTAGTCCTGTATGGGAAGAATCCTATTTGACAGACCAAGATGGAACTAAGGTTTATCTTGATAAATGGGCAGCAGATTCAAGCAACAATGCGTTGTATAGTCAGGTTCAGCAGTTTATACGAGAGTTGGGACTCTCAAATAAACACGCATCTTTACTCATGCAAAACATGCAAGTAGATATACCTAGGCCCAAAGGTGATATGCCCTTCCGCAACCATCTCCACTAGTAAACGCTGACTGTATGTAAAGTGAGTGAAGAAACAGTCGACTTCGGTAAATTTGTTCTAAACATCCTCCAAATTTGGTTTTCTGACTTTGATCTAAGCTCCCAAAATGCTTCGATTGCAACAATACCCATATATCAACCCAGCTAAACAGGGGGTAGAAGACACCGGATCCTCTATGACTGGTCAAACTGGAAATCCTTATAACTGTCTCTGCTTTTACGAGTTTGATTTTGATCAGGTCTCGTCCTTGCCAGAGGATTCTATGCCATTTAATGGAAACTTTGCATGGCCTGGAGATGGTTCAAAAGACGAGTCTTTGGGAACATTTGCCATCAAAAGCAGTGTGTTCCCTACAAGCAATACTACTCTTCACTACCTTGTGCAATGTATCTGCCAAGAGGTAATTGCATACCCTCTTCCGCCTCATGTGATTGACAAAAGGCCTGGTGAGAATACGATGTATTTGTCACAAAGGTTTGCCAAGATCGATGATATGACCAATGATGAATACAATGATGTTCAACAATTTCAATCTGAAGAAGGATACTATGATCTTAGTAAGTCCTCTGATGTTCAGTATTCCTGGTTGAAATCAGTATCTGCACTAGGAAACGAGATATTCTCCACTGAAGGAGGCTGGAAGGTCGACTACAAATTAACTGCCGAGACATCCGTACATTTAGATATCGGACCGTCAGATTCCCCCATTTTTACACTCAGCGGACATGTTAAGTACTTTGGTTCGATCACTTGGCCCCAAGATGTGGAAAATGTTGCACAGTCTTATCCGTAAGCATTATATATAAGCCTCTTGAATCAGTACAGATGCTAACCTATGAAAGTGATTTGAATCATAATGTAGACTGGACGGCCACATTTAATATGGACAAATTAGATTCGGATGACCCCACTGCAAAAATCGGCAAATGTAACCTCGACGGAGTGGGCGATGAACAGCTGTTAGTTCCCTCAGATCTCGATTCTGTGGTCCCTACAGATCCAGAATCGAGCTGGGATTATTTCTTGAGGGGTTATAGGAAGATGGTTGGCGGAATACTTGTGCAAATACCCGACATGCTTCGTTCCCCAGATATCAAAGTGGCGTGTCCAGGAAAGAATGAGCTTGAGTTCGGAACCGCTGCGATGAACGCAGTGGGCGATATAATTGTTCCCGTTCGCTATTTAGAGTTAGCAAAACATCTCAAATTTGAACCAACCCGCAAATATATTCTAACAATGAAGTAGGCCAGATGCAAGTCGAGTAACCTGGATTTCTACGCCAGAAGATCACCCCCAGAATACAAACACGGCTTCAAATGTGGTTTATACCTCTGATACGTCTGTCACCAAAGATAATCCACATATCACCTGGACAGGCTCAGTGACCTACGACGCCGACACAAAAGAGGCGAATCTCACACTCCAAGGATCCAACAAATCTGGTGCAAAATTAGCCTTTAAAGCAGTTAAGGCTACTTTTCTGAGAATGCAGGCTGTGAATGATCATTGTCTTTGGAATGCAGATTGTGGTAGTTGGAGTCAAGATACAATTTCCGATTCACATTGGTCAATCACAAGAGATAGCATCCCTCAGAACCTCAAAGCAAAAGTAGAGATTGTGAATAACGAGATGCAGTTTACCATTTCTCCGCAAGGAACTGCCGGTTACGCTGATCCAGATAGATTTTTCATATCTTCAGGTGGATCCTTTGCGTTGAATTTGAACGGAAAAGCAAACACAGATGGGAATGATGATACTTTCATTGTTCAGATGACTGAAAACTGGGCTGGCCTTACAGTTTCAAAGCCAATTAGTGGACGGGCAGATGCTTTCATCGCCATAGAGCTCAAGGCGGATGGTTCAAGCACAACCCCCTCCATCATTACTCAGACCGAGGCTGATACTGAGCGAGGAGTGAAGCAGCCATGATTTTCTGAAGGCTACCTCAAGCGGAATGGCCAAATTTCATTTGATTGGCCGAGTTCTTTGATATTAGGCTGCGTGGAGTGGATATGAGTTGCTGGATAATTTTTCAACCATGACAGCAAACTTTCATTTGATGAGCCGAAATTTACGGAAACAAGATTGAAATTATTTGACCTCTTAGCTAGCCGATAATTTGATTTCTACTACGACTGCTACAAGAATATATAATTTCGCTATTTTACAGAAAAAACTGACCATGCAATAACAAGTCACACAATAAACCTCAAGAGGAATGCTGGGAGGTTTGTAAAAGAGAAAAAAGGGCAAAGTTTTGTGTCTGATCAAGCCTGATAGCGAAGACGCAAAAAGAATGACTTGTAGCTATATGCCCGTTCTTAGGAACTCACCTCTCTCCAGAGGCCTGAAACCATCTTCATCACATTAATCTCTTCCTATCATTCATTCAGTATTCCACAAACAACACCTCAAAGATAGCTCTCAATCAGAATCTATATATCTAAAATCTAAAATACCGTTACCGTAGTATTTCCTCCTAGAAAAAATACATTCTTTCTTCCTCTACTCCATATTTTACATTATGATTTAAGTATCCACACTTTGCATACCTCACATATCAAATATCTCTAGATTAGAATGCTATATTTATTTGGAATACTTACCGAAGAGTATTCTTATACTCGAATCATTTTTACTCTTTATAGAGATTAAAATATTAACTCTATTCGATTTAGTAAGTCAAGTAATCTATGAACTTGATAGCCTTACTAGGTATTTATCTCAATTTTTTTTATAGAATCTTTGCCTCTCCAACTTGATATATTATCGATCTTCCCCTAACCATCCATCTCTCTTCTTTTTTGAATTTCATCAAGATTTATGTCAGTTTGAGAAGGATACGGAAGACGTAGCACCCACGTATTCGTAGGTCCTAAATGTCTATATTGTATTTTGTCTAAAGAGCTAGCAATAGACAGAAAGTAGTAGGCCTTATATAGGCACTACCGAAAGAGCTAGTCTCTTTCGCATTCGCCTAAAGCTCAATGCAGTAGCCACTGAATTGAAGTCATTTATCTATGTTCATATCATTTAAGATGATTTTCTTCTATTCTTTGAGATATAAAACATTATCATTACCTCGACTCTTCATATTATAATTCATTTCCTATTTCTGTAGTATTTATATCTTGATTAAATTCACTAATTATTATTCTATTGTATCTCTCTAGGCCTTTTCGGACGAGATGTCGTTATGAAAGATTCTCTTGGCGTCTTCTGGCTCAACAGCGAAAACCTCATTCTGCGGAGAAGAATGTAATTAGTTATGAATTTCGTTGACTGTAGGTACGAAAAATCACTTCATGAGTTGGGTCCAGGTTGGTTGTCTTACCTCGGTATCAAGTTTCATCCAGTCAGGCATTTTAGCATAATCACCCTTCGCTGCCGCCTGAAAGCCTGGGGGAGTTGCGAACCCATTCATGACTACATATCTAATGAGACCACCTTTCAAGCCTTTGGCTTCTTGATCTTTCTTGGAGAGACCCTTCGGAGCTTCGCCTCCGGGAAGACCTGTGTAGGGGTGAACGACAAGAACAACTTCCTTGCCAGCAGAGACAAGTTCAGTCAAGCATTCGAATGCCATTTACATCACCATTAAAGTCTTGGTGAGATGGCTTGGCGCCGGCAGAGGGTAAGGCAAGGCTGACGGTGGGATATCCGTGCTTCTCGAGAGATTGCGCGACTTCGGAGTAAATGAGGGGCTTGTGCCATGCACCAGGAACCATAACGATAGTTGGCTTTGCCATGATGAGTTCTTTGATGAAATATTTTATATTGAAGAGAGATGGAGATGAGAAATGACGAGAAAGTATGCCGATAGAGGGGGTGCGGGGTGGAAGTTGATAAACCACAATTTTCAACAATAAAACCAACAAAATACATGCCCAGTGGTCAGATTTTCAGGGGCCACGCCGACTAGCTGTGCCGCGCTCTAGTCTCCGCTGCATTAACTTCTGCATTCGCTTTCCTTCCCCGGACGTGGCTGGGTGTCAAACGGGGGGCTATTCACCCATGCAAGTAAGTAAGTATACCGGTATAACGGTAGATGGAGGACGTAAGGACCGAGCGTGTATGTGCAGGATGCTGTACATCGTGCTGCAAATCCGTTTGGTATGTGGTAATGCCAACCTGGCTAGTTAAAATAATTTTGATAGGGTCAGCCGGATATCATTTGAGAATCACTCTGACTTATCTTCACACAATCTTATTATATACTTACTTGATTTTGCGTCTAAAATGGAAAGAGGCTCCTTCCCCTCTTGAAGCTTTCCGCACAAAAATAATGTGGAGGCGACGATTTACTATCTAGATGGTCGAGAACCACCACCATCCATCCACGTTTGTTTCGTTCAGAGTGTGCCAATCCACCCTTAAAATCCGAGAACAAAAGTGCAAAAAAAGTGTCATGTGCCCGTTCTAGGAATCGAACCTAGGATCTCATCATTGTCACAAGTACTAGTGATGCGCTTTACCGCTAAGCCAAACGGGCTGTATCAGTTGTTGTTTTAATGATTGACGTGCTGCAAATTCAGTATATCATTGCAATCCAAAGTGTCCCCACTTTGTTAATTTGACAGCTATGGGACAGTGGTCCATACTCTTCGCAAGCGAAAAACAGGCGCACCAGTGAGTGGGGGCATGGATTGATGGACACCCGTTGACTCCTTAATTTCAAATTCTTTTGACAAATTCATTCTTCAATTCTTCAATGTCAGAATTTATTTTCTGATTCTTCTATTTCAAATGAATGAATGTAACAATTTCTAAGATACATGAATTAACATCAAAGATCAAGTTCACTCCTTTTGTAGTGTCCTGTCAGTTCGTTCACCGACCAGTGGCGGAAACTGATCTCTTTGAGCCATCTCAATATCACTTATTTATTGAATTATTAATTCGGTTCAGAATAAATATCAAAATCTGAACAGAGCGAACGAAAAATTGAGCTCTATTTACCTGAATTGTTTGAATTTTAATCATTTGATATTTTACCAAAAAAATGCCTGTATTGTTACAGTTCTTTTAAATGATAGTCGATTCCCGTCTGTTACTTCGCTGATGTAACGATGTAACGACATGATGGTTTATCGAATGTGCAGATGTACAGAACATAGGAAGGTAGTGGGCAGGAAATGTAGCATGAATTATCCTCAAGAAGGGGTTTCTCAGTGTGACATATGAACGCTGACATGATTCCTATTGTGAGCAGTCAACGACAATCGATAAATGTAAGATCTTACATACAAGCTCAAAACAAATCTGAAAGATAGTGGAAATAAGTATTCCTAGTGCGCTCAAATCTCAAAGAATTGAAGATCATTTCATCAAATCAAATTCTCGTCGTCTTACTCAAACCTAGGTGTTGAATCAATTGAGGGTTGAGAAGCTTTGCAGTTGAATCTGAGCTTCAGTCTGTCAAGTAACTTCGCTCCCTCCGTTATTGTCATTATTGTTAAGAAAATTGATACATTCGATGATATGAAACATACTAGCCCTGATCTGAAGTGAGAATTCATCTTCGTGAACTTCAACCCATTCTTCAACTCCCTACTACAATCGCCAGCTATCCGCCACACTCTGGACATCAGGATGTCTAAAAATATATATCGTCTCTGTGAAGCCTTTTACTTCAGATTTTGGATTTACACCTTCGCATGCTATGTTTACAACATGATGATTAACCTTCGAGCGTAGTTTTGTTCGAAAAAAAAGACAAACCTTACGGTTTGTACAATGTGAATCTTGGAAACCTTTGTTTGGATAAGCCAGATCCGGTAATCATCTTTATATCGAGCAAGTTGCTTTGTACTATCTCAACCGGTTGCGGGATTTCATTCAAGGTAGAAATTATTTTCATATGGCCTTTGTTTAGCAATACATCTCATACTGGCTTCCTTCAAATTAAAGGCATCAAATCGCTTCCAGCAAATTCACATAAATTCCAGAAATCACGAACTTCTCAACATGACTGCCTTGGTTGATCCAATTACAAACAGAGGCGGGCTTCGAGAATTTGTGAGGACCGAACCAAGTTGGGAAATCCGTCTGGGAGACAGGTGGGTATTCCAGGGACGAATCCGCAAAACGGATAGAGCCTTTATTGCACATTTCAAATACGAAGACAGGGAAGGTGAAGACAATAATCCCCCTCACACCAAAGATATAGTTGCCAAGATCCGCTTCCGACAGCCTACGGTAGGAGGTCGACCCAATGGCTATCCGGAAGCTTACAGAGGAGTCATTAGTGAAGGACGGTTTCTTCAATATCTCTCTGGATACTATGCTTGGCGCCCTTATGATAATCGCGACTGCATACCCGACCGGCCCCATAATATTTTGAGGCATTATCGTGAACAATTCGTGCCGTCAGATGAGAACGAACCAATCAATCGGAATGTGGTCTCATTCTTGGAATATTGTCCTGGTATTGTGATCAGTCTGACGCCCGAGGATAAGACGCAGTATTATGACTTAGATGTTTTCGATAAGCATAATGATACGTTCATTGAAGAGGTTGATATATGGATCATCTTTATGCAGTTCATGAGGATGATCCTGATGATGGAGTGTGGCAGTGAGATTCCAAGGAACTCTCGTCAGAGGCGGTCTATTTGGGATACACGGAACGTGGAGATATGCCATTACGATATCCAGCCGAGCAATAGTAAGTTCCCCTTGTAGAATATGACCATTGGCTTTTCTGACATCAAATGTAGTTTTGATTGGATATAAGAATCATGAGAAAGACCGTGTTCCGGTACTTAAAGTGTGTATTACTCTATTTGCCTCTGGGAAAGATGAATAACAATCCTCACAGCTGTGCGATTTCGGGGATGCGCTCGAGGTTCCTCAGTTTGTTTTACAACAAAGTGCCGGGAGGTATAGTTTTCCAAACCAAAGCAATGGCCGGCCGGGCTACCAAGCTCCCGTGAGTTACAAGAACTCCTTTGTATTTCTTACAGAATACTCATAATTTCACTATAGGAACAAGTCATCGCCGACACAGAGCATGTACATCCATTCCGCCATGGCTCGTGTAGCAACATATTTCAATTTGCAAACATCATCCGTCTTCTAATGCACGGAAGAAACTTTGCTGACTTTGAGATACATCCCGAAGATCCAGCTTGGTGTGACGAGTACTTTGGAGACTACACCAACGCGAGGCCAAGGACGTACGGATATTCTCTGTCAGAGGGTCAAAGCAGAGTAAATAGAGCTGGAAATAAAGTATATAGTGATGAACTAATAGAACTCGTGCAAGAGTGCATGAACGAAAAGCCCGAACTTCGACCTCGTCCCATAAATCTCTTTCACAAAGTGGGCGACTATTTCCATGACGCCGACGAAACTTACAACGATCCCGATTACCCCGGTCCAGGGGAAGACGATCTGCACCGCCCAAAACAACCTTTCGGACCCGAGGCACCTATAGTGAGATACCCACCCATCCATCCTCTCTTCGGCCTCGCAACCCTCGCCCCCCCTCATTTCCGCACCCCGCAACCCAACTGGCTGAAAGACTACTCCGAACACTACGAAGTTGAAAATTTCGCCTGGCCGCCCACGCCCCGTACCGTTACTCCACAGTGGGCGCGAACGCAAGATTACACCGAGGATCACACCTACGTAGGCGACGATCTGCCCGAACACGAACACGCTGCGTATCCGCGCTCGCAGCCGCAGGTTCCGGAACGATACCCGCATGGTCCGCCCATGATCGATCAGAGACCCAGTGTGAATATTCCGGATCGGAGAATCGATGCCCCAGGTGGTATTGCGAGGAATTTGGGCCTTTTGAAGTATTATGATCGCTTGGGTCATATGTGGATGGGAGAGGAGAACTATTGGAAAATGTTGGAGGCGGGCTTAGATCCTGAGACGTATAATTGGGGAATGAGGATTCCGGATCCTGAAATGGATGAGGATGAGAAGGCGTTGAGTGGGCCGGAGGTTGGGGAGTGATGGGGAGGGGTGTTAAGGGTGATAATGCGCGTGTGTTTGGGGTGGGGGTTTGAGAAGAAGGGGAAATGAAAAATTTGGTATATCCGTTTGATGTGATAGCTTGGTTGCGTAAATTAAGTTTGGTGATTGTACTTGATAGTTTGATACTCAGTAGATGAGAACTTAAAAATATATTTCCAGGGTTAAAAGTACAATTTCGTGGTATAGGAATAAGACTCACTCCATCTCCAATCTATCCGCAATGTCCGCCCAAATAAGAATTGTTCAACCACCTATCCAACCAACCAGTGTAAACCAAGCATTAGCTAACCATTCAATTCAAAATCAACCAATAAAGGTATATCTCCTCGACTTCTCCGGTTTGCCTCCAAAAATGGCATTCAACGCCTGCCCTAGCCCAACTGCATCATACTTCATTCCCGAACTATCATCTATATCTATGGCTCCCACAATGTCCTCTCTCACCCTATTTTCAGTTCCATTCCCCACATCCTCACTCTTCACCGCATCAATAACCGGATTCTTCAATATTACGGCCGGTTCCTCTTTCCCAGAATCCGATCTTCGTCCATAGACTCTCACAGCTTCAATACCCAATCTCCTGAGCTCCGTCTTGTCTACCATCGGTGTACCTGGGCCTTCTAGATATACTACATGCGTGATGTATTTTTTCCATTCTTGTTCTTTTACTTTTTCAGGATGTTCTTGTTCGTGATCATGTTCTTCCTTTCCGTTTCCAGTACAGCCGTGAACAATCGCCTGGATAAAATCTTTGGCCGTATACCCCGGCGTCTCGCGATCTAGACAGCCATTCAAAATAAGGACTTTAAACTTAATTTTCGGATCCGCAATCGCAGGTCCTACATCTCTTAATATCAAGCAAGGGAGGATAGAAGTGTATAGAGAGCCGATACTATAAATTACGCAACTAGCGTCTTGGAGGGCAGAGAGGACTTTGGTATTGGGAGTAGGACGAATTTCTTGGCCATAGGGGTTGATGTACCAGATTCGCTCGATGGCGGAGGACAGCTCCTCGGTATGAGATTTTTGAAAGAGGATGTTTTGTTTGCGAAGGGTGGGAAGAGAACCTGGGAGATTGGCATCTTCGATACGATCGTGGTATAGAAGGTCAATGGATTGACGCTTGTGGAAGGTGGCGGGAGAAACAGGCTGCGTGGGGACGAAGGTGGGGGCTATGGGGTGGGAGATATTATTTTGTCCGACAATTATTGTACCTAAGGATATGTTAGAGATTGACTTTGACGTATATTTCACGTGGGTAGTGAGAGCTGGGTGGGTGGATCTTACCGTCTCGTAATCCTGCAGAAATGTGATATGAAAAATTACTATTGATTGCCGGGATAACCTCAACATTATCTCTCACACCGGTGATACTTGATAAAAGATAAATTGCCGCCTCAAAACTTCCCGTAAATATACGAGCACCTGTTAAGAACAAGTTGCCTACAGAAGCCGATTGAAAATTAAAGACAGAGGTTGGACGAGCTCGCTTGACTATCTCGAGGTTTATGGTATTGAGAAAGGAACGAATCAGTTCACGCTTGGCAGAGGTGATGTCGCTCCATAAAGGAGAGTGACCTTCGACTATGGCTAGCCATTCATGTTTGGCTTCTTGGGGGGAGGGATCCAGACGATGGTTGAAGAAAGCACTCAGAGCGGATCTTTCGGGATTGGTGCCAGTAGAATCTTCGGGGATAAGTCGGACTAGTCTACCTAGATATTGGTTAATCTTTTGTTTGAGTTGTCTTGGATATTTTGATCCGCATGATTATGATTGTCATGGGCTCGACCACTTGGTAAAGTCATAAGTTTGACCGCTTGATAGCACGATGGCTCAAATCAGACTGGATCTTATTGTAGCACGTGACCGAAAGCACCCACTCAGATGAAGGGTCTTCATAAAGACTTGGAAAGAGTTTGATAGGAAACTCGCCTGTTTTAGAGGCACATCGAGAAGCATCTGAACTGAATTATATGGGATATGAACATACTTCTCACATCACCAATACCTGGACCACCAAAGACACGAATAAGTTCAGAGGAAGAACCTCCATTGTCACTAATCGGGATGACACTGAAGAAACATTAATTTCATTTCCTCATACACAGTTCCATGAGATAAAGTTGCACTTACTAACTCAGAGAACAGGCCTTTTCTTCGGCAACTTTCCCAAAAACATCCACCAGACTGTTGGCAGCACTTCCGCCTGAAAATACAACGATACGACGATTCATGATTGAGACTTGAGACTTGACTTTTTGGTGGTGTATGGACATTCAAAATCTGGTTTGAAATATTCAATTTTTGGAATTGGACAAGAATGAAAGCTTCACTTTATCATCGCGAGAAATTTGAATGGAGTGAGTCAGGGATTTGAGTGAACAGATTTCGGGACACGTTGTGGTTTGTTCTTAGAAATGAAAAGGTAAGAGATGATGAGAAGGAATGAGTGAACAGATTTCAGGGCACGGTGTGGTTTACTAGTCCCTGGCGATGAATAGATATGTTGAGTGGCAGTGTTGTATAGAAAATTTGAGAAGGGGATAAAAGGTTGTGAAAGATGATGGGGGAGTTTGCAATTGCGATATCAACAAAAGAACTGGGGAGCTTAAGGGAGTCGTACCTACCTACTTCGTCAAATACTTAAGTGACCTCAGGATTGATAACGAAACTCGATTGAGCCATTGTCGATTTCTTGTAGGATCGATACTTTGTTAAGATAAAAAAAAATAGCTACTCTAATAGATACATCTAACAGTACAATCAACTGATCAATTGTGTTGTTAGCTACAGCTCGTATAGCAATTCGTACGTTAGTCTGTGTAGTGCGTATAGTAGTTCGTGTATAATAATCGTGTGTCGTGTGGCAGGGGCAGGTTGGTGTAGAATTCCATTTACTCATAAAAGACATGAGATCTCATTTAATTGTTGGCTCTTCAACATATATATTTTATTTTCAAAACAGGATATTGATCTGTTAATGATTTATTGATTTTAGAAAAAGGAATTTGTTCTTGGTGTCTCGTTTATCTCGCTCACCCACGGCGTACTACTAATAGGAGTAGGAGTAGGAGTAGGTAATATGCTTCTTCTTCTTCTTATGCTTTACTTTACTTACATATAAACTCCAACGTTGTACTTTGATCAACTACTGCTTCACCTAACAGGAGAAGTCTTGAAATCCCCTGCCAAGTTGACATCTCGTCATCTTAAGTTGCTCCAGTTTCTTTAGAATGATTGAAACATAACCCAGGAGCCCAGGTAAGCAAAACAAATTCTAGAATCAATTTCAAGGGGGATCTGGTGAAGTTGTGGTCGAAACGAACCCTTTCTTTTGCAAATAATAAATAAATTTGGGTCCGTCCCACATTGATATTTGGATATTCCTCCATATTACTTTGAGATTGCCATTCCCTTCTTCTCTGATCCATCTCCAATAATTGCCCATACGGAGAAAAGGGCATTTATCGCCGAATTAGATCTTATCTACATCATTTCATCCCTTTTCGTCCACCAACAAGTGTCAGGAATTCATCCGAGTTCATTCTCTACGCGTTCTCTACGCATTCTCTACGCATTCTATATGCCGCATGCACACGGAGTGTTCATAAATCCACAGATATTAGTGAAATTGTACGGGGTAGCTAGTATACAATGTGAATTGAATATACGATTTCATCTAGAAAAGTAAACAGCCCGCTTTATGATCATTCATTCACCCATTCATCCCTCCCTCCACAATTCACAGACAGAATATAAAGGAGACCGACCGATGTATGTATGTCCCAGGTAGGTAATCGTCAACGGTCAAGAGTCTATCACGGAGTATAAAGTCCCTACGAGTACCTATCTACCGTGAGTAAGTACCAGCCAGTACCCTTTTGTAAGCTACAAAACGGATGTGCCTACTACATCCCTAATACCTATTGTACTAGTTTGGAAACTATTACAAAAATAGCCTAAGGGAGATAAATCCATCAGCCAGTAACTTTTTATCATTCTATCTATACTTGTTGAAAACTCTTTGTAGCTTTCTTTTCTCTACTTACCTACCTACGCAATAAGGTTGATTTGTTGGCTTGCTCAGACGACATACCCGGGAGCTGGAAATTCCAATTAGACACATTTGAGCTCAATTTGCCCAAATTCCCCACTCAGAACTTCATTTACAATAGTTTCTCAGCAATGAAAGCGCGCGAATGGAATTTACTTTCTTGCTAATATCAAGAGTATCTTTGTTGGAGGAAGTCTGAGGGTTTTGTTTATTTATATGCCGGCCACGAAACTATGCGAATGGCGCTTTGCGACTGACACTTAAGCTGCCATGGCATTATTGAATCCCACCTTCATCTTTGGGGTGATAGTCCTTCTATACCTATCCTCCTTTGTACTTTTCGCCATAATACGAATTATAACAGGAATATCTATTCAGCGCATCGGTTACCTCTCCCTGAGGAGACTCGCATTTACCCCGAAAGATGGCATCAAGCTTGAGATTCGAGGTCTGGGCATAAACATTCATCGGCCAACGTTCGCACAACCGACATGGCTCAGTATTGTTTTGACGGAGCTGGCGGTTACTCTGGATCTGAAGGTTTTAGATGGAGACAAATCGGCACTTATTCCTGAGGAGAATGGAGGGGCGGAAGAAGAAAAGAAGGATGGCTCAAGTCGCGAGGTCGAGTCCGAGATCAAACCATTATCCAGGCGTGCCACCTCCTTCAAACCGCAGCGCAGCAAAATGTGGGAGCAACTTACGAGCATCAAGAATCGAATTAAACGTTTACACCGAAATATAAATTGGATTCGTATGGTGGATATCGTGGCCTCGAATTCGTCGGTCACCATAGTTGATGTTGGCAATATACAGTTGGGAAGTTTTACAATGGCAGTGGACACCAGGAGGAAAACAGTTGATCGTGGAAGGATTTTTACACATGTGAAGAAGGCAAACAGTAATCAGCGTCCAGCAGAATGGATGCTGACCATCCGCAGCATTCTGTTCACACCAGAAGGAGGGGATTCTTTGGAGGTATTGGATCACCTTACATTAAACATACACGGAATACTGTACAAGGAGCTTGATGGTCTGCGAGAAGCAGCAATTGCCTTGAAGCTAGGCCGAGTCCATATACCATATGACGATATAAGTACGTGTATAGACAAATACAAGGGTTGTCGCAAACCGCGCAAATCCAAGGACGAAAAAACTGCACCCAAGGAGATATCTGTAGCAAGCGTTGTCGGGGAACTCGAAAGGCCTGGCAGCGAAGAGGAAAACCTTGTCCAGACGGTATCGGATTCTAAAGAGTTTGCGAGCTCTATTCTTCGGGGTATAAAGGAAGTGCAGTTTGCAGTGAGCTACATTGGATTCAGTAAGAAAATTACGTCAATACAACCTTCAGGTTCACCAATGTATCTCAATGCTTCTATGAAGGAGGTTGGAGTGGATCTTCATCGTTTGGATCAAAAGTCTCCCGCCCACCGAATGTATTTTTCTTCCAAAGATATTGCCCATCAGGCTCTTATTGCTGCCCTTTCTATCTCTATCGGAGTTGATGATGGCCGGGGGAAATCCGACAGACTAGTCTATGTTCCAATGGCAACTACCACAATCCGAACTACATCTCTATCAAAAACCGTTCAGTTTGCTGCGGATAACAGTGCGGACGAGCGAAACGCAAATATTTTGTTCGCTAATGCCGTCGTTACATCACCCTCTATTGATCTTGATCCGCGACATCTCCCGCTTGTTTTAGCCATGACAAAATCAAAGCCAAAATCTAAGAAGAATAACACACCCGAAAGACATATACTAATATCTCGGTTATTACCTAAAGCCAATGTCAAATTATCGATGCATGAGCCTGTTCTTCGGATTGCTTTACCCCCTGTGGAAGAAACCGCAGACGAAGATGATTTCGACCTTATCATATCTTCCATCTCCTCCATATCTCTGGATATAGAATCTTCGCACTCCGCGATGGGAGAATTGCATTACAGCCTGGGATCTACCTTACGACTACAATCCCAGGATCTCTATTACCAAACCTGCTCTGGATCTAGATTTGACTTGCTTCAAATTGAAACACTCGATCTGAAAGTCCAGGTCAGTGCTAATCCAGAAGTTTATGTTGTCGCTACGGGTAATGTTCAAACATTTTCGGTACATATGGTTCGACCCGAGATTAGTGACGGTGTTCGCCAAATTGTTCGTCAGCTCAGGCTCAACGTTGAACCGGACAAGAAACCTCACTCTAAAACTTCTCGAGACCCAAATTTCATCCGTGCATTACCTCCTTGGTTGTTGCATTTTCAGCTACAGGGCTCTGATTTCAGCGCTGAAGTCGCTGGAATTGACGCATCGATAGCAGATGACACACGTGGTGTTGCAATTCAATTAGAATCTTGGACGGCCGAATACAGAGCCCAAAAAGTCGAGTCGAATGAACGAAGAATTCGTCGTCGTGCAGGAAGTCGTTCTCTTACTCCGGACCCCGAAATATTTCTTACCATGCCTCCCTCACCTAGAAAAAGGCGTGATCAGCACCCAACTGATGGTAGGCGATTAGCAGTCCACGTTCGTGGATTTGAGGCATTCGTCGTCGAGTCAACAGAAAAATGGGAAGTAGAGCCATTTGTTGCGATTCCTAAATTTGAGGTTGCTCTCTCGACTTCGAGCGACAATCAAGGACCAATATTTCATCTCAATTCATACGTGAAGAGCGTTTTGGTGCAATATTCGTTATATCGACACTATGCTTGCGGTGTGGCTTTGACAGTGCTTATGAAGGCATTTGTTCGCACAAGTGCTGATGTTGCAGAAGCTGAAAAGGTAGCAAGTGCATCAGCAGCAACATGGAAATCCGATCCTTCCACACTTCTATCGCCTGTGACTTCCCCTGGCGGATTCGCGTGGCCTGGACAGGACGATCATGAATTTGCTTTCGGGATCAAGGAGTTGGTCACCGTAGACTTTAGATCTACCTTGATCCAAATCAAGGCTCATCTGCCATCGGACCCCAAGCTAATGATCCAAATATATGGCGCCGACGCTGGTCGCCACAGGTGGTCGGCGCCTTTCTTCCATGCGAAACTAATTCGCTTGTATGCCGAGGCTCCTCAAATGAAGAGGGTTTGGGCCAGAATTGCCAGCATAAAGTCGGCTAGAATCGACCTTCGCGAAAAGCGCCACATGCGTTCTTCCGGTGAAATGCACGAAGAGAAGACAATA